TGTATATTATGATGTATACGCTATATTATTGTAAAGTTTCATTAGTTTTCGCGTGAAAGAGTACCAAACATCCATCCATACATACAAACTTTCGCATTTATAATATTAGTAAGGATAGATGAAGCTTGTAAACACATATCAGCCGCCGCAGGGGCTAATGAGTCCCTCATTAGATCCATATTACGTTATTTCCGAATAATACGCACACATGCACAAGCGAAACATTTATAATAACAAATAACGAAACCGACTAGAAATATCTGATTCAATAGACACTTTCTATTTATGGAGTAACCTGGTGTAGCTCCCAAGTCCCAGGTGCAGTATCAATTTTTGTTTTCTTAGAAAAACATTGCGCTTACTTAAGGATCACAGTATCCTGTGTTGTAAGGATGTTTTATAAACATAAATTTCACGTGGACAAACACCCAAACTACGAAAAAACTATCTGTGGGTCTTACATATTGTTGCCCTATGTGGGGATCGAACCCACGACCCCCGACGCCGAAGCCACTACCTTGGCAACTGGGCCACAGAGTCATTTAATTAATATGTGACAACATTGCTAAAACGAACCCAATGCAAAAAGAATTTTTGAAATCGGTTCATAAAATGACATTGTTTTGTGGTAACAAATAAAAGATTGCGGAACTTCCTCCATTTTCGGAGTCGGTTGAAAATTTTTGTTCCGAACCTCGCGCCGCCCGAGCCGCGCACGCCCCAATTCCGCCGAATCACTTGTCCAGGAATATTCGCCGAGCTGGAAAATTGTCGCGTCTAAATCAGTCGCCCCGACTTTGTTTATCTGTGTGCGACTCGTGTCTCCTTCGTCGGTTAAATTTAATTGTTAATATTATGATTGGATAAACTGTTATGGACTCGAATATATTTCCTTATCTCGATAGAGTGGTTTTTGGTAAATGTAATAAAATGGCAAGCGAGCTGACGATACCAAATAGCTGACTATACCTGATGTTAAGTGATAACCGCCGCCCATGGACATTCGCCATGGAACATTTTTATTGTGGTTGGACCACGTAGTAACTAGTGCTGATGCACGAATGGGCAGGCACGTCCAGGGTAGTGCTGATGCACGAATGGGCAGGCAGCATTATGATTTTGCGTTTCGTCTGCTTAGTGTATCCGGGGTCCAACTATTTAATGGTTTGCAACGTATCCGCCATCCGTCGGATGTTTTAGATGGCCATCATTTACACCTGGTAAACCAGCGGCTCGCTTGCCAACTTTAAACCCAAAAAATACTTTCTGATTAGGTTATTGGCTGTTATATGATGGAAAATCTTTTTGATTTTATCAAAGTAACTAGTAAATCGTCTATTCGAAAAAGATATACTATATTCCTTGGTACAAAAAACCAAGTGTCATCTATTGAGGTCAACGTCCTTCATAATATTGCGATGATAATAACTAACCATAAAAACTGTGACATGTTTTAACCGACTTCAAAAAAGGAGGAGGTTTCTCAATTCGACCGTATATTTTTATTTTTTTTATGTGTTCGCGGATAACTACGTCGTTTATGAACCGATTTTAATGATTATTTTTTTGTTGGAAAGGAGATATCCCAAGAAAACCCAGATCTGATGATTTTTTTTGTTAAAAACAGGTTTTTTTGTTAAAAATTATAAATTATTATTAAAAAACATACTTTCGTCGCAAAAGCAATATACACGTAATCTATCCTCACCTATCAAACTTTTTTATCGCTTGAACCATAACTGTGTTCAAAATTACCTGTAATAACAATGAGGCGAATATGAAGTATAAAAATGATATTATTATCGTGCATACTGTAATACGGTTAAATTAAATCCACATAAATTGCTAACGGAACATTATAATTTTAGGCCATTACTGATTTATCCAAAGCTATCAGACCCACTGACCGATAAACACATCTACACCGAAAACCGTGTATACGATGTTTATTCAAATCTCTACTTTATAAACATTGTTTCTACTATTTTCATCTATCCATTTGAGAAATGTAATAGAAATCTTCAACAGTGCCATACGACCCTGTTATAATTATTTTGTGTTTTCTTCTCTAATAATTAATACTAATGCCAAAGTATTTAAAATTCCAGATTGACACGACAATAAAGTATTGTATACTGCTTAATAAATTAAAGTACAAGCATTTCTTTTCTAATTTTTAATTGTCAATATTTGAGCGGATACGTGAAAGAAAACAGATCTCCGAAAAACGAAAACATTTGTTATCCTATTACCATGAACGGGTAATAAGGTACCAAATGTTTTCGTAACAGGTTTACATATAACGCTCCGAGAATAATAGATGCGAATCGTTTGGGAGTATCATTTAAGCGAAACGATAAGACCGTTCGTTTCGTACTGCGTTTCCCTGCGTAGACCCATTGCTCGAGGCGTTCCACTCGACGAAGCGCCCGAGAGTGGCCGCCTAGCCCCATTGCATCAAATCGAATCGCATTGGCAGACCGCGCGACAGGCTATTTATTTCTCATCGGAACCGAAATGTCGGCTACAAACACTGGCACCGTTTTGATACTGACTGTGAATCCGTTCGCGTTTCTCCTCCACGACGTATCCATGCGTTCGTTCCTCGCACGTACTTCGAATATTATCTTCATACTATATAACAGAAATATAACTGATACTGATCGTTATGTGATAAGTCTTTAGTTTACTTGAATGAACATATCTCAAAACACTCACTGAATGTTCATCCCAGCATTGAAGCAGGAATTGTTTGTATTAGTAGTGTCAATGGAATTATCAGTATCACGTGCTCAGCGGTGTTGGAAAACATCGTGAGGAAACCTGCATATTTTCGAAAAAAAAAAACTATTTCGAAGATAAGTGAAGTCCGCCAATCCGGGGCCGCGTGGTGGACTATGCCCTGTTACCCTCTTTACAGAGGAAGTCTTTACCCAGTAGTGGGACATGTATAGGTTGATACTTTACTTTAGTAGTGTCAAGTAGATTAGAAAATGGTTGAGCAAAATATAAATAGTCGTTCTAAGTTTTAATTGTTTATCATTACATGCATTCACAACCTATTATGCCACGTCACGTAATTAAGTATTACTTTTGTTTTTTCTCGAAAAGACAAATAAAAATACGTACGTTCTTTTTATTTAATAAATCGCAAGCCGATCGTCAATTTTGAGGTCCATATTTATCATGTCTTATGGGAGTAATTTTAACTTCGCTTAGGATTACGATCCCTATTTTAGTAACCATTAAACGAAGCGTCTGCGTTTCTTGGCAATGCGCTTGTTGTTTTTGCCAAACGTAGCAAAATCTCATGCATTTTTACGCACGGTACTTTAAAAGTATGTTTTTTTTTTTATTAACTTCATCTCCTCTGCCAAAAAATTGTCTGCCCAAAATTCCGAAGTGTTTCTCTTTCGCGGTTCCGTATGTCAAAATTATCGATTAAATAACGTAAAGACGCAACACAGACGCACTTCATACAAGCAGTAATGCTTAGATTTAGCTCAATATTAACGTTTACTTACTAAGGTTTTATTTTTTTCAAAACCGGCCAAGTGCGAGCCGGACCCGTTCACGAAGTGTTCCGTACCATTATCTATATATCTGTTGTATATCCCCACTTAAATATTTTTTATTCTCTTTTTTAGTATTTTTGTTGCTATACAACAGAAATACATCTGTGAAAATATCAACTGTCTACTCGTAACTATCACGGTTCATGAAAAATAGACTGGTGACAGGCGGACAGACAGACAGACAGCTGAGTCTTAGTAATAGGGTCCCGTTATACCCTTCGGGTACGGAATCCTAAAAAACAACAATATATTCCTTTTCCAACATTTATTTGTGAATTAATCGTAAATTTTACATATTAGTAAAGAAAACGAGTGTGTTTTACATAATAAACAAAACTCTTTTGAATACTCGCTAAATTTATAATTAAAACACTTTTTCACTCTATTCATATTTTGAACACTTCTTACATTTCATGTAAAGAAATTTTCGTTTTTGTCTTAAATTTTGTGTTTAATTTATCGGTCTTCGTTCTGTAATGGTTTTTAATTCGAAATTTAAGACTAAGTGTGATATATATACCACGTTTTATGAGATTGATACCACGTCTTATGACCTCGCCAAAAGGTTTATGATCAACGTATGAAAATATCAATGGCACTTTCAAAGTAAAATGCAGATATTGAGAGTAACTTAATTTGTACAAGAGATGAGCGTCACTAATTTGCAGTGAATGTATGTAATAACGGCCATAATTTGATTATGATTTGCGATGGTTTATTGAAACGGCGACCTTCGCTATTTCCGCCCTGATTTCGAACCGCCTTAGCTCTTCTATCGATTTGTGTATTTAAAATAGCAACAGTGTGCGTTTGGTGCAATTAAAAGCATGTTTATTTACACGCTATCGGTTCCCCCGTCTTTATTACCACGGATGTTTCTCTCATAAAAATCACGTTATGCACCTGTTGGTGTCATATTGGTTACAAATCAGACAATGCACGCACTTATATTAGTGGGCAAAAGGGAATAAATTGATGTTTTATCATGACCTTTTTAACATGCACAAATGTGATCAATGTTATGTATAAAATGTTTGATACCCCTTTTTGATCAAACCCTACGAATTAATCTCATCTCCGCTGACTTTGTTTTATCACCTATAATATCGGTGGAAATGCTGACTCGCCGTTGGACAGTATCGTGATGCTCCGAAGGTCCAGGGTGGACGGCGGCACTGTTGCACATCGGCGTGCGCGCAAACGAAAATAGTACAGCGGTCGAGCGCCCGGCGACCGAGTTAGCCGGCGCAGTGCGCCCGCGAAGCCCTCACGGGCCGGTTCTATTTCCGACCGATGTCACGACGCGTGCCGAGCCGCCCGCGACGCTAAAACCGAGCGCGCGGTGACATGGCACCGGAGCCACCTGGCCGCGGCGAAGACTTCCGCCACTGTGGGAAACGCGAGAGCACCAGCGCGTAAGTCAAAATGCCAGACGCCCGCCCCAAGAACCCAAGCGGCACGAGCGCCGCAGTGCAACTCCGCGTCCAGATACCGGAGAGGACCAACGGCGCACCAGCGCACCCTAACGGAGCACTATCGCCAAATTCCAATGGACCGCTCTCGCCGCCCATTCTGGATGCGACACCGAAGAAGCCGCCGAAAGCGCCGCCCAGCCGGCCCATACTGCCGATGAAGAAGTCGAAGACGCTGCCGATAAATTTCGACGAGAAAGTGCCGCCGAAGTTGCCGGCGAGCGTCATCAGCGGCAAGAAGCTTCTGATCACGAAGCCGCTGAAAGAGGTGCACACGATCCAGCAGAGCGCACCGGAAAATGGGAAACTGTTGGTCACCCGTTCGCCGAGTCCTACATGTAAGAGGAGCATGTCGCTCTCCGTGGAGACGGGTTCCATCGCCGAGCTCGCTAAAAGGCACGGTTCTAATGGCAGCGTTCTTATCTCACGCTCGCCGAGCCCATCGTCTTACAGCAGTATCAGGAGTTCGACCAGTCAATATTCTACTTGCAGCAGCAACGGCACTTTCGTACCACTGTCCAGATCGTCCAGTATGAATTCTACGTTGTACGACAGAACACCAACACCGCGCCGAATGTATCCACAATCTTCCGACGCTACAAGCGGCGTGAATTTGAATGAACTAAGATCCAAAGAACAGTCCCCAGTAGTGTTTGACGCTAACTTGTCTTTCGTCCTCGGTTGCAACAAACAACCGATACGGCAGAAGTTTAAGCCGGTCGCGGCCCATTTGGAAGAAGGAACGTCTTCGAACTATCTAAGCACGAAAATCGACAACTTTCTCAGGAGGACTGACCACGTTATGGACGAATGGCGCCGGCTGGGTCACAAGGATGAGCCTGACCTGGAGATGTATTGCAACGGTCAAAAGAGGAAGATCGGCAGATCTAAATCGGCTACCAATATAATGATCAAGGGCTTCACGTTGTTCAGCCGAAACGGCAGCAGAGCAAGCAGTGTCTGCAGGTCCAATCGTGGCATTTCGGAGGACAGGACCACCGTCTCTGAAATGGATGAGGTCGGTTCTTCAGCTGACTTCATTCCTATCATTCCTAGTGCCAAAAGACCAACAAAACGACTGCGATATACGTCGTGTAGATCTATAGCGCGCGATAAATTATACTCGACCTTTTAGCCGCGCTGTCGGTGGCGCTTACACGGGCGTGCGTCGACTGGCTATAATCGCGTAACGTGACTGATGCCAAAACATACCCTTTTTTTTGTTCATTGTCTCTCAAAAGCTTCTATGTGAACGGGCAAAATTCTTGGCCGTTCTTCATAGGCATCCGTCAACGTTGTCATTCAAAATAAAAGCGGAAACCCGTCTGTTTTACGGGAGACTCTTAAATTAGTTACATAATTTGACGCAAACGCGGTCTTCCGCCGCGTGTAAGCGCCCGTGCACATTTGGCAACAGTAAACCTGCAAGCGATGCAAACTGTTTGTTATGGACGAGCTTCCCACTCACGACGTCAGCGTGTTCCAATTTTAAACCGTAACTCGTTTGAAATATTACCAGCTTGTTATTAGGCCATTCGGAACAGAGGTTGATGATAAACAATGCGTTAATTGAAACCTTTTTACGGGGCAATATAGCAGATATTAGGCAGAGATAAATTATGAAAGCTATTACAGATGCAGTTTGATGTTACAAAGTACATGATATTTTAACTCGTATTGCTTGATCAAGAAGCCCTATAATTGCTTACCTTATCTTTCATCGATAAAACACTCTTAATGGCGAGGCCCATAATAACTTTGTTTTAATGGTCTTAACTTCTTCATCGATTAACATGTCATATCTAAATTCACATTTTAACATGAATAGTTTCTTGTATCATAAGATATGGGTCGAGGTAGACGTAAGGTGAAAAATTATAACTGTTAATAGAAATACTACTACTAATAATAATACTACTACTTGCCTTGCCTTTCATAGCATCAAAAATGTGCAATTTATAAAAAGGTCAAAGCTGACGTGAACTTTCAATTTATAAATAATGTATCAACAGTTCTTGACGTGTCAGAAAAGTCATGTTGAAGTGTCAAAATTTCTAATTTTCTTGGCCTAACGTTGAGAAGAAATTATTTTAACTAATAAGTTACCGCGTGAACTCACTCAATGACGACTCTATTTTAGTGTCGGGGGAGATATGTCGGTGGGCGGCCCTAACGTGATGTTTATCGTCGACAGCTATCGGAGGTGGGCGGAGAGCTAGCGGAGGAACGCGCGGCGGCTGCTCTTGCCACGGAGAGGGCGGATGCTGAGGCAGCCGAGAGGCTGCGCGTCGAGAGGGACAACAGGGACTTGGTGGCGAACAACCAACGACTGCAGCAGGTATGTTACTTAGCATCTGCTTAATTTTATGACTGCTCTTCAACAGTGGTCCACGCAAGCCTTCTATGTCCCACGAATGGGCTGGTCCGTCCGGGGAAGTACCACGACCTCACAGATGACCGGAGTGAAGTGGAAATGTTACACTTCTGCGTTTCGTCTGGTGGTAGGTAACCGGGTCATTTTATAAACTGTTTTGCAAATGTCCATGGGCATGTCCATTGAATAATCTTAATAACATTCACCTGTTTCACTTCGATTAGAACCATAGCGACCACTTTTGCGACATTCTTTATTTATTATCAGAACGTTATTATTTATTTATTTTGTAGAGTATTCATGTGTACATAATTCTGTGTATGACTCATGTAATAACATCGGTTGAATTTAGTCCTAGAGTATTAATGCTTATAGAATGCTATGGATAATTAATTCTAACAACATCGGTTCAACTTTGCCCTGTTTCCGTTTTCCAGGCGTCCGAACGTCTGGAGCTGGAGCTGCTACATTGGCGATCGGCCGAGAACGGCGTGGAGCCATCGGACTCTGAGGGCTCGGAGGCCGAGAGTGGGGTCGGCAGCGACAAGTACAAGCGGCGGTACGAGCAGGCGCATAGAGAGCTGCAGCTACTGCGCGCCCAGCTGCGGCGGCAGCACGAGGATGACTTGGAACAGCTGGTCACGGTCAAGAAGCAGCTCGAGAAGAAGGTCAGTGACCCTCTTCTTAACAAACAAGCACGCAGATTGTAGCCGCAGCCGATTCGTCGTGCAATACCGTTCAATTCTGCGGTGTTTACGCGCTCGAACATGAACTTTGTGCATATAATATTTACGCCCGGTTGACAGTTTATTAGTTAACTTTTACGATGATCAGTGTTTCAGAAACCGGGCGTTAGTGTTCGAACCAAAAAAGCCACAGCGAGGCTTCAATAAAGCCCAAACAGGTTTTTAGATGTTTCACTAGAAATCTTTATAATTACGGCTATTTGTAAACTACAATAATCATAACGAACAACGGACTGTAAAAATGCCAGCTCGTCTTATTTTTCCATTCTCCAATTTTCAATCAACTTTATATTTAAAAGAAACTTTGAGTGATGATGATGTTCTACGGATAGCTTTTATCGATGAATTCTGGTAGAGCAATTGTTGGTAAGAGAACCTGAACGCGTGTTAATTGAATATGGTCATATTAGCATTTCGTACCCCGTTTCTTTATACCCGCCAATTCAACAGTGGAGAAAACCGAACATTGAAACAAATCAAGTATAAAATTTTGATATTTAAACAAACAAAAACTGTTAGTTACACACTTTGGAAATGCACGTTTCAAACATTAAAATATAAATTGCATTTATTTGAGACGAGTTTATTCCGTGTGATTAGATACAAGTACAGAAATAGGGCGCAGCGTAATATTTTATCTCTATTTGAAATTTCAGTTATCTCGGATCATCCTTAGTGGCTCTCAGATGCTGATAGTACTTGGTTCATACGCGATAGCATCTCAGATATCGTAGCCCTATGTACGGTGATCAATTTCGTAAATTGGCGTGTTTTTAATTATCGTTTGCTTACCGCTTCATTATCCCTCGTTATATAATTAGCGAATGGAGCATGTTTTCGTGAACGTTTTGAATTTGTAAACTAGTGACTAGTTTATTTTGCGATAGACATTGTAATGTTCAGTTTAATGTCAAATTCGTTCATTGCTCCGAAGAGAGAGTAATTGAAACAGTTGGGTATCAAGTCTACATGTGAATTTTAATCATGATTGCAATCAAACTCGAAAACAGTTTGAACTAAGATCCACTGTAGTGAATCGTTTCTGTGATGGATGAGGAAAATGTTCAGGTCGGTGTACTTTTAATTCGTAAGGACGGCACTACGTATTCGTGGAACTCGTAGGAATTATCGTTTATTGCAGGGGTGGCCAACCTTTTTGTGCGTATGATCTGATTTTTTTTAAACTGTCTCTCGGTCGATTTATAAATGAATCGATTTATATCGAGAATAAAATTGTGACCGTAACATACGGTCACAATTTTATTCTAAAAAGGGAGGTGTAAAATATATATTATGTTTGTATCCTGTATTTTAATAAATGAACTAGGGTCCCTACCCTAATTTTTAATATGTTGGTAATTTTAATGGGTTATTTTTTGAGTTCTCTATTTATCAGTTTGTCTTATCGGAGTCGGATGAGATGGACCAATTTTAGTCAATTGCCCAGTAAATTGACTAAAATTGGCTTGATGATCGTTGATTCGATATCGATTGACTTAACGTGTTGGTTACCCCTGACTTTTGTATTTGTTTGACAATTCGTTTGGCGATTGTCCAATACATGTATAGAGACAACTGACCATCGCCAATGTTTTACAACTTTTAATTTTTCTTTCGTGTAGATTTGCTAACTGATGCTATCAACACTTGTTTATTTTGCGCAATTCTGCTGATTTAAGAGTTTTTCTTCTGATTTGATACCATATAATATATGGGTTCCATTAAATAGAGAAATTATCGTCTCGAATATTTAAATATTTTTCCACGTTAAAGAACCTCTCACTAATGTACTGTCTGTGAAAAATTGCGACGCGAAATTGTTTATTTAAATGTCAAGAAAACATTCAGCGCATTACAATGTTAAGCTTTTAATGTCATTATTTATAACAACTAACATTAAAAAGAAGAAATTGAAACATCGAGAGATTTGGGATTCGAGATTTTTGGAACCATTAGGTATCTTTGACTTGTCTCGAAATGTTTTCCATTGTAATCTTACATTTATAATGACTTGTTAAAATTGCTATTACAGTTCAATGTTTTCTTATTAACGTGTAGGTGTAAAAATCAAATAATATAACTACTATTGTATATTAGTTGCCTCTTCGCGATGCAACGTCTCAATTAATCATCATTAACCTGCCCTTATCCCACCCAAGTAGGGTCGTCACGACATGTGAATCATGTTGTAAGTGGTTTTGGTTAGGTTTATTACTACCGGCCTTTCGCCAGACGTAAACCCTCATTGGTAACCAACACCCAGATCCGGGTCCATTTGTGGGTGACACAAATACTTGTCCCGCGTGGGAATTCAACCCGCGACCCCCAGAGGCAATACCTTGGCAACTGCGCCACCGCGTCATCAGCCACTTTATACGAATTCGAATTAAAAGCTGAATCTACGTAATGTAGCGTTAAATATACATATTAACTACGTCTTTAAGTACAACACCGTCAGCCAGTGACCGATAGCTCGTCTTTAATTCAATATACTCGAGCAACCGGAGTTCTATCGGTGCCGACCCCAATGTAATTGTTTACTTTAAATGCTGAATTCTCACGTGCTCTGCGGTGAAGGAAAACATCGTGAGGAAACCTGCATATTTTCGATATAATGACAAAAAAAATATTTCGAAGATATGTTCGCGGTACACTATGCCCCGATACCCTCCGTACAGAGGAGGCCTTTGCCCAACAGTGGGGCATGTATAGGCTGAAACTTTTAACTTTTTTTACACTTCAGAAGTATATCCTTATTCTTACTAATATTATAAACGCGAAAGTTTATATGTATGGATGGATGTTGGTCACTCTTTAACGCAAATACTACTGAATGGATTTTAATGAAACTTTACAATAATCTTATTGTGCGTAGATTCGGGGGCGAAAAATCGATCTAGCTAGGTTTACTAACACCGTAAGATCTTAATAGTGTGAAAGCTCCTTGAATAGAATTACGAACTTATACAGAGGTCAAAAACATTACGCTTTGAGTAATTTACACAATGAAATATCGTTGGTCGTTTATAATTGATTATTGAAAGCGATAAAATTGGTCAAAGTGAATTTATTTAATGCTTGTTTAGTCATACGCATTCGTTAATTTATTCAACAATATTTACGATTGTCACATAAATGTCGAATCTTATCCTTTAAACGAGCAATTCTTGTGCAATGTATATAACATTCTTGTGTATATATATAATCGGAATCTCGGAAATGGCTCCAGCGATTTTCATGAAATTTAGTATGTGCGTAGATTCGGGGGCGAAAAATCGATCTAGTTAGGTTTCAATTTTAGAAAATGTCCTTTTATCCCCGTTTTACCCCCCCCCACCGAAAAAAAAATGTTATAATAGCTCGGTCAGTAATCGGGCGCCCGCTAACTAACAGCCACGAAACAGAAAGCCGTGGTTCGTATCACGATCATTTAAACACTATTTTTTTTTTACTTTTTTTCCGATTCCAGGTCATTGCTTTCTTTATCTTATATTTTTTGTCGATTTGTTATTTTTTTCCCTCTTTTTTATTTTCTTTCTTTTGTGAAAAACACCAGTTCATATTTTCTTATTATTACGTCGGTAAGATCGAAACATATTATGCATTTTTCTTTACTTAGTAATTTGTATCTAAATGTAATTTCCAAAATACACGAATTACCAAAAAAAAAAAACAAACCGAGCAAAGCTCGGTCCTCCAGGTACTATAGCTTAACATCAGAATAACACATAGGCTATAATTTATATACATATTTTATGTATGAATGTCTTTCTGTCTGAATGTTGCGCATTCAGCCTATTCTACGCAGACGTAGTTACGGGCAGCAGCTAGTTTTAAATAAATTCAGTCGCTCGATAGATATTAACTACCTCTTTATGTACAAAATATCAACGTAATATCTGCTTCCAGGTCCAAGATGCCTACGAGGAAGTCGAGGAGCAGCGAGCCGTCGCCGCCAGCTGGAAGCGAAAGCTGCAGAAGCTCACGAACGACATGGCCGATCTTAGGTCTCTTCTGGACGAACAGGTTGGAGCTATTTAATAACGGGAATCCGACTAACGATATATTATTAGATATAAGTTATAAAACATAGCTTTTACCAATTTATACAACTGCTTTTCGCCCGCTGCTTTCAGCTTCGCTCGCGTTGAAGCCTTTATATTTATATTATAAATATCTTCCTTAAAAAAATTCCAATTAAAAATAGCCTATGTCCTTTCTCAGGTCCTATGTCCTCTCCAAAAACTAACCTCGTGTACGTTGTAAGAGTTGAATTTATAATCCTCGAAAAACAAATAACAAGGGGGAGCCTTGAGTGTAGGGTGTAGGAAATATCACGACGCAGTAGGTGTCAAACCAACAACTGTTAAATAAATCACAAGAAACTGTACTAATTAATGATAAATTGTTAATCAGATTAAATATGGACAATCTCATGGAAACTCATCTCTCTTCGTGAGGCGTCTTTAGCAACGGCGCACTAAATAATTAAACCGGTGGCCGTAAGATTGGCAATATGCCGGGCAACTCTGCCAAAATATGCCGTCTAACACTTATAGGAGTAATTTATGCAGTAGGCGTTCGGGATTAAATAATCATGATAAAGAACCCATGTCTAGTTGTAGAACATTATGTTGGCTGTCTATTCTCATTAAAATTAATTAAATGTATAAAATATACATTGATGCCAAAAGTTGTATGTAATCATGTAGTAATTCTGATCTGATAACAATTTCTTCTAAACTGTGTTGGAATAAAAAAGCGTAAAGACGGCTAAAATCTGAGCCGAAATATCTGCGTTTGCGGGGAACTAATATTCAATTTTGGAGCTAATGTATAATATTCTCAGTACCACACTAAGGTTGACTGATACATGCTGCCGGCATTAAGTCCGCCTATATACAGAGTTTTATACAATAAGTTTTAAAATAAATAAATACATATAATCGCAAAACAGAGGTTCTTCTATAAAATTTTCATCATCGCAAAAAGTCGAAAATCTTTTTTATGGAAATAATTCTTAAATATTGTAGGTCATAGATATAAGAGTAGTTCTTTCTTCCAATTTTGTGTATACGAATTATAAGATTGTGCCTCAAAAAGTCATTCAGAAAGAATAGCTGGCCATGCCCATGTAGCATTTCACTATTCGACATAGTATCGTATATACATATAGATATATAATAAGTCGATACAGATATGATATTAGTCAATATTTGTTTCCCTACGGGCTACGGGAGGCGGGTGTTAGGCAACATTGTCCGCGCAAGCAAACGCGACGGGTTGCACCAAAGTTTACGTACGCGAACTATTCCCGTAAACCCGCCGCCCTTCGCGCGAGACTAGCCGCGAACTAGCTCATTGATCGGGAACCCTTCGCAGACGTGCCGCAACAACCTGCTCGAGAAGCGGCAGCGCAAGTTCGACGCCGAGCTGCAGTCGGCCCAGGAGGAGTTGAAGCGCGAACGAGCCACTCGCGAGCGAAACGCCCGCGAGCGCGATCAGGCGCTCGCGGACAAGTACGCGCTCGAGCAGAGCCTCTCTGTGAGTACCCGCTTCTTGAAGTGAAGCTTCTATATTGACTTCTTGTTTTTTCGCGAATGTTATACATATTAAATGAAACTAGTTTACGGATCATACGGCTACGAAGACGATAGCGAGTGATGAGCGACGCTTTCATTGCTTCACTTTACTACCGGGCTGTTCAAGCTGCTAGTAAAATCATTCAATAATTCGATGACGAAAAACTTCGGGATGACCATAGACGTAATACTCATTGGAACTGTTCATGTTATCATTTGTGTAGTCGAGTACACCTAGTGCTTGAACAAGAAATTTTGACAATTAATCGTTTTATTAGTTCAGCGAATGATTCCTCGCCGCGCCACTCTGATGTTGAGCATTTGTCTACTCGACTATGGCGCTTTCATATCATTTCAACGATCAATGACGGCCTGTCGAAAATGTAATGTGATCGTCGCATGAATGTGGAAATTGTTTAACAGGAAGCCCGGCTCGAGGTCGAGCTGAAGGAGGAGCGGCTGGCGGCCGCGGCGCGCGAGTTGGAGGAGCGTGGTGGTGGTGGCGATGAACTCGCCGCGCTGAGACGCGCACGCGCTGACCTTGAGCGCCGCGCACGAGACCAGGAGGAGGAGCTCGACGATCTCGCCGGCCAGATACAGGTTGGCAGCCCTAGCCGTTAGCACACACACTCGAGTAAAGGGCCTTTACGATACCGCCATCCAGATATTTTGTGGCAACCCTAATCTTTACACACAAACTCGAGGATGGAACCTTAGAGCTACCACCAGTTAGACACAAGTTAGGTTGGCAACCCTAGGGTCGCGGAAGATTGCGTCTTCGTATTCCCGTGTCCCCGGCTGATGCGAATGAAACAGGTGCAACGCAGTTTTTTAGTGGGTACCCGTTTCTGACTGCGACTCCCACATACCCCTGCCTCTACCTCAATCCGGTGGCAGGGAATCCATAAAGGATTTTCCCACATTAAAAAAAAGGTTGCCGACCTTAGCTTTTAGCACATAAAATCGATTAATGAACCTTAACATCACCACCAGCTATATACAGGTTGCTAACCTTAGTCTTTACTACACAAACTTTGTAGGGAATCTCAACTATACCACCCGCCAGATTCAGGTTGGCAACCCTAGTCTGAAGTAAAAAAACTCAAGTAAAGAACCTCTACAATATCGCCAGCCAGATACTGGTTGGCAACCCTATAGCCTTTGGCACATAAACTCTAGTAGAGAACCTGTACGATAACGCCAACCAGATATTTAGTCAACCCTAATCTTGAGCACACAAACTCGAGTAGGGAACCTTTATACCCTGGTGGTTCAGGTAAGCAAACGAAAATCGTATCAAGAAGAAAACCTCTACGAAATCGCCAACCCCAATTTGTAGCAAAAAAACTCTATTAAGCAACCTTTACGCTGCCACCAACCAGATTACAGTACTACAGTTACCACAGTTTAGTCTTTAGTTCATATTTAAACTCATATAGAGAACCTCTACAATATCGCTAGCCAGATCTTTAGTGCACAAATTCAAATAGGATGAAATCTCTACGATACAACCAGCCAGATATTGATCGACAACCCTATAACTTCACATCTATTTTTAGCTTCTGGAGAGCTCGAAGCTGAGATTGGAGATGCTCCTGGAACAACAGCGCAAAGAAGCCAGGCTCGAGGCGGCCGCTCGGGACGACGAAATGGAGGAAACTAGAGCCAACGCCGCGAAGAAACTTAAAAGTAAGCGTTTATCAATTGATTGACACCTCTTAACCTTATAGTTAGTTAAGTGATTCATTTCATTCAATCATTAGTTAAATGATTATAACATGGTCATTAATATAATTTCAGTCCTTGAGAGTCAGCTGGAAAGCGAACACGCGGAACGCAGCCTCCTCTTGCGCGAAAGACACGAACTGGAGCGGAGGCTGGCCGCGCTCGAAGAGGCCGCGCGTGCAGACACGCAGGAGCAGGCGCAGCTGGTTCAGAGGCTCAAGAGGTAGGTGGACATTGGCCGGGTACACGGTAGCTGTCGAAAGAGGCTGGGTCACCTTAAAGAGGCCGGGTCGCCTTAAAGAGGCCGGGTCGCCATAAAGAGGCCGGGTCGCCTTACAGAGGCTGGGTCGCCTTAAATGAATCTTATCGCAAAAAGAGGCGGCGTCCACCTTAAAGAGGTCTTATCGCCTTAGAGAAACTGGGGCGCCTTAAAGAGGCTTAATCGCCTAACTGAGGCATGATTGCCTTATACTAGACAGAATAGGAACTAGAATTAGGACAAGACAGAATGATCATAGGGCATAAAGCGGGTCGCGACCAAGATTCGATTAAGTACTACATGTATAAAGGTTATTAGTTCTTTTTTCGAGTATAAGGGTTCTTACTTTGGGTGAGAATGTTGATACGTTTGTTGAGGTAATTTCTCGTACTCTCGTGAGTTTTCTTACAAACAGAAATCAAAAGCTATCAAAAATACAATATTTCTAAATCGCTATTGACCATTTTTAATTGAATTCTAAATCAAGTTAATATTGGCTCGCAGAGATTTGAAGAGATACCGAGCTCTCCTACGCGACGCCCAGACAATGCTCGAGCAAAAGGAGAAGGAGGGAGGTGCCAAGGCTCAGATCAGACAGCTGAAGAACCAGGTATGGCACCATTATTATTCTTAGATTTCTTCTTATTAAAAAGTAATCTGTACACAGTATGATGTCTATGTATACATACACACTGCTTTCTTCTATAAAGTCTATTATATCATCATCATCATCAACAACAGCCGAAGACGTACAAACTGAAGAGTATCTAGGGAGAACGCCACAATGAACCTTACTATTTTCTCGATCCTCCCATTATTATTTGGATAGTAGTCATTATATTATACATTATATTATAAAGTGAACAGGCAAAGCATCCTAATCAATATATGTTGGAACCACGATTTTCATAGGTTGAACATAGAGGTTTACGTTCAACCTTTGAAAATCGTGGTTAGCTGATTCATCTTAAGTCTGGCAAATTAATCTTAAGCAATGGCAAAAAAGAAACTCCGCTAATTTTGTTAAAATTTAAAACGTTTGTTTAAATTTAAAACCACGAAACCTACGAAAATTATCGTTATGTTAAGTCGACGTGTAGTGCGATCAAATGTCGGCAATGCGAAAGAGAAAAGAGTAGTGCTCTCTCGCGTTCAATTCAGCCCGCAGAACCGAACTCAATTTTGCATGCACTGTATTACTAACAGTAAGTTACCTGTTAACACGCGCGGTAAGGCGACGATACCGTATCGCTGTAACGTGTGGCGCTCGCAGGTGGAGGACCTAGAGCTGGCCGTGCGCGCGGCGAGTAAAGCTCGAGCCACCGCCGAGGCGGAGGCGGCAGAGGCGGCCGCCGCCCTCGAAGAGGCGACACGTGCGCGCACAGAGGCCGCCGAGAGGGCGCTCGCCGCCTCGCGGGACGCAGCCACGGCGCGCGCTGCGCTGGACGACGCCGAAGAAGAGGCCGCGGAGGTGATTATCCCCCGTTTTTGTATTCACGTTTTTAACATACATGTCTTACGCCCGGTTTCTGAAACACTGATCGAGCCATTTGACAGCTGATTAGTTGACATCTACGGTGATCGGTGTTTCAGAAACCGGGCGTTAGTTTTTTTTTTTTCTTTAAAATCATTGCCCTTCCTGTTAACTGTCAGCATTATCCAGTGTTGTAAGGACGTTCGAATCGAACCCTCGAACCTTGGCTCCAAAGCCTTGACAAGTACGCCACGGAGTCATCAGTCGTGTATGCTTAAACACGACTTGAATATGTATGTATTTTATATGTATTTGATTTAGTCGTATATTAGTATTGCATCACCTACGTAGTAAACGTTTCGTTTGCGCCATTGTTTGCGTGGAAGAGATCGGTATGAAGTCACGGGCCTCAAAATTGTGCATTTCATCAATTTGTTAATCTATGTATTGTTAGTTTTTTATAACCTTTGACTTGTCGTACAATAAAAGTATTCATCCAACCATCCATTCACGACTAATTTATTACATTGAATTATATACAACTTGCGAAGCGCCCCGTCTTTGCACGGGTGCAATATATTATACACATAAACCTTCCTCTCGAATCACTCTATCTAGCAAAAAAAACGCATCAAGATCCGCTTTTAAATCCGAAGATTGCTTAGTTTTAAAGATCTAAGCATACATTGGGGCAGACGGACAGCGGGACAACTTTATTTTATACCATGCAGTGATGAACGTAACTATTGTATTGTAGCATACATAAGGACAGACAGACAGCTGGACGACTTTACTTTACAGCGTGCAGTGATGAGCGTAACTGTTGTACTTGTATTGTAACATACATAGGGGCAGACAGACAGCGGCACGGCTTTATTTTATACCATGAAGTGATGAACGTAACTGTTTTATTGTAGCATACATAAGGGCAGACAGACAGCTGGACGACTTTACTTTACAGCGTGCAGTGATGAGCCTAACTGTTGTACTTGTATTGTAACATACATAGGGGCAGACAGACAGCGGCACGGCTTTATTTTATACCATGCAGTGATGAACGTAACTGTTTTATTGTAGCATACATAAGGACAGACAGACAGCTGGACGACTTTACTTTACAGCGTGCAGTGATGAGCCTAACTGTTGTACTTGTATTGTAACATACATAGGGGCAGACAGACAGCGGCACGGCTTTATTTTATACCATGCAGTGATGAACGTAACTGTTTTATTGTAGCATACATAAGGACAGACAGACAGCTGGACGACTTTACTTTACAGCGTGCAGTGATGAGCGTAACTGTTGTACTTGTATTGTAACATACATAGGGGCAGACAGACAGCGGCACGGCTTTATTTTATACCATGCAGTGATGAACGTAACTGTTTTATTGTAGCATACATAAGGGCAGACAGACAGCGGGACGACTTTATACCATGTAGTGATGAAGTAATTGTCGCAGCTGCTGAAGAAGTACCGCAGCAGCACGAGCGCGCTGTGCGCGGCGCAGGCGGAGGCGCGCGAGGCGGTGGCGCGCGCGGACGCGGCCGCCGAGGAGGCGCGCCTCGCGAGGGAGCGGCTCGCCGAGCTGGCGCAGCGGCTCGCGCACGCCGAGGCGGGCCACTCGCACACGCACAGCGAGGCGGAGCGCCGGCTCGAGATGCGCAACAAGGTGCGACGGGAGAAAATCGACCTTACGCCCTTGACGTTAGAGTCCGATTTGGACTGTGTGGACCTTGAGCGAAGTTCAACTATGCAGTCGGGATTTAGACCTACGATCGGAAATCGTTAACGTCTTCATGTTAGATATTGTTGTCAGACAACATCAACACGTCATTTTCTTGGTCAAATATTTATATATTATAATTATTTATCTTTTTGTCGAAATATTGTAAACATTTTTATTTAAAGGAATATTCTCAAAAAAACTTGTAATATTTTTTTAAATGTAGTGTGGTAGATAAATACCATGATGGTATTGAAATATTGTCTGCACATTATAAGTGTCTCCAACTGCCACATTGACCGAACCTTCGCAAGGCCATTGACCGCTTGTTTCTCAGCGACCATTAAATTTATTACACTTATACCATCGACAGAGCGCTCGCTCGTTTGCTCGTTAGCCTTGCTTGTGATAAATAGCGGCAAGCTAACTGACTGGTTATTAGTAACACCCGCAAGATTGCAAATACGCAGCCACCTCGTACGTAACTGGGCCCCGATTACCTCACTTCCACTTAACTTCTGCGAGGACGCGCTTCGATTCCCCGAACGGCCCATTCGTTACCTCACTTCTGCCTCGCGCGGCCAGGAGCTGGAGTCGAGCCTGGAGCTGGAGGCGACGTCGCGCGCCCGCCTCGAGGGCCAGCTGGCGCGGCTGCGCGACGCGCACGACGCGCTCGCCAACGAGCTGGCGGCGGCGAGGGCGCGCGACGCGCACGCCGCCGACGACCTGCGCAAACTGCAGCGCTCGATCAGGTGCGCAACGGCCTCCGGTTCATTCCAACATTTTTTTTTTTTAAATCAATTATCATTTTTCGTGCCAGTCACTGAACAATAAATGTTAAATTGTAAATTTTGTAGATAATTTGTCTATAAAAAGCTTTTCGATCTGCGGAATAGAGATACAAAAATTTACAAATTAAAGAGTTTATTTTGTTTCTTTTGGAGCCTATCATTTTTTATTTCAAATTATACGTAGGTACTTCTGTTTGTGCATTCGGAAAAATTATGAGAGTGAATTTTTACAACGCGCGTCACCTAAAAGTGATACCTTCGTGGTGTTACCATGGCAACCAGTAACAACTTTTTGGCATTTAGCTATATTTTCAAGTTATTTAATGAAACCGTTATCAATTGCATTTAATACCTTTTTTTTCCACAAACAAGCAGTACTAACACACCGGATAAAATGTTTAGCTATTTTTCTTTTGCCACGCTAAAGAAGTATAAATTCTTATATGTGTTGTTTTACTAGTTGCATTAAGATCATGTTTCAATCTTCCATTATACTATTCAGGGTATAAACACCAAAGTAGCAATTATTTATAAAAAATATTTTACTGTATACTTAGTTTTAAATATTTTGCTTAAGATTCAATCACGTTGCATTTGTTTTAAATTCCCGTCACCACGATGCAGTCCAGCATATTTCCATTAACCGCGCGGCTCCGCATTCGCCACCGACCGCACCGCTTTCCGTGCGCAGTTACCGTTGCTAATGAAAATTGATATCCACCCGCAGGGAGCTGAAAGAGGAGAACGCAACGCTGACCACCAAGCTGAGCGAGGCGGGCAGGGCGCGGACGGCGGCGGAGGCGGCCGCCAGCGCGGCGGCCAGCGAGGCGGCCGCGGCGCGGGACGAGGCGAGGCTCGCCGCCCGCCGCGCCCAGGCGCTGCAGGAGGCCATCGCCGGCGACCTCTCCAGCAACAACGAGCGCGACTCCGACAGGTGTGTAGTTCTACAGTAACAGCCTATAAATCAAATCAAATCAATATAGAACGTCAAGAATCAAATCAATATAATCAAATCGATATAGCACCTTTATTCAATGTAGAAGCATTACACTTATGTGATGGTCAATACGCTACCGCCGGTTCCGAAACAAAAGCCACTCACCTGAGAAGAACCGGCGAAAGAAACTCAGGGGACTTTTTTTAACCATTATTCATTAAAAAAGACATGTTTACAAATGTATTGAATTCAACTTGAAAGAGATTAAATTAAAGATTTAAATAAAATATACATCCCGCCAAAGGTGTCCTCAGTGCAGAGGTTATTAGGGTATAGTCAATAGCTTTTGAGTAACAGTTTACATATGTCCCACTGCCAGGCAAAGGCCTCCCTAGAGCAGTGTATTAGGGCAAAGTCCACCATGCGACCCCATCGCGTATAGGTGGACTTCACGTATTATTTTCTTTTTAATAAGTTGTCAAGCGAGCATGCCATTCAAATGATGTTAAGTCAATATTTCTGCCTATATAGATGGAGATCTACAGTACCTCGATAGATTACAGATATATTGAAAAGCTTTAAAGAGTGGGCTACTAGTCAAAACAAGAAAGTTTAATACTTCCACTTCACACTGGTCTTCTGTGAGGCCATGGTACATCTTCATTTGCGTGACGTCGACGGCCGTGGAAGTCACGGTTCGAATGCAAGACCTTGACGCCTCAGCCAGCAATCCCCCATTTTTGATACAGCAATATGCTCAATTATAATAAAATGTATATTTAATTTTAATTCATTATTTAATCTCAATTATAATTCCAGCGACAACGATAGTTACAGTTCAGATGAATCAATAGGCACATTTCTGGCCAACCACAAGCTGAGTCCATCTGCGCCATCCAGAAACAGTGTACAATTTGATTCCCAAAAGTGAGATACTATTAATTTATTTAATATGTCTATAGCTTTTATTTACTTTTTATATAATCTAATTCAAACTAAAGCGATATCTGAGAAATACAACCATTTTCGCAGCTTTTCTTTCAATTTCAATACTTATTCAGCAATGTTTTTAATTAACACCGCTGTGAAATAAAACCTTCACATTGAATGTTGCTTCCAATAAAGTCATTTATTTATTTGTTTATTATGTGATAATGTTATTTATTACACCCCCTAGATAAGAGTTATCATTATTACCACCCTTTTACATTTTACTTTTCTTCCGTCGCACACCTTCAGGCAGATTAGGCAGCTAGCCAACTAGCCGCACACCGCTTGACGCAACCCCTGGTCTGTGCAGATCCCACAGCCCCGAGGGCCGCCGGAGTGGCAGCAGCGCGGGCTCCGCCTCGAAGCCGGCCAGCCCCAGCAAGGAGTCGTTCGCATAACCCACGCCCGCCGCCGCCGGGCTGCTCACGAGCGCGCTCCCCATATTGTGCGCCGTGTTCTGCTCGCGGCAGCGCGAACACACCGCGCTAGAGTGAACCACTGAACCACTCAAATCACTAAAATCACTTACACTCGCGACCTGTCATAGGCGCGCGCCTTTCGCCGTTGCCCACGTAAAATTAGTCACCCATTCACAGGGCCCTTGTGGTCTCATCGGCCTTGAAAATCCGTATATTCCGGTGGGACCAAGTGGTATGAGAGTTGCTACTAAACGTGTCTTAATCATTTTATTGACCCATCAACACACGTAAATATAAACAACCGGTCGGCGCTGAAAGACAACTGTCAAACTGACAGATGTTGTTAGTGAAGTGACGTTTGGACTATAGTGATAGCTGTATTCTGGATCATGTACGGTCTGCCATGATAATATAAGTTTTCCTTCGATTGTAATTTTAGGTGCGTTTTCCATTACAAATTATATACGATTCAGATTTAGAAACGAAATTCTTAAGTGTGTCATTTGTGCAAAGTAACGTGAAGAAAAATTTGAAGATCGCATAAAAATACCTTTCTTATAGTTAGATTATACTTTCACAAATGGTATACTAAGAATACTAGTACTTTAACGAGTAAATATATTTACGACTATAATACTTTATAATTATTGGACAATTTGTATGAATTAACTTCAGGAATTTGAAAGCTGCTCAAATTTATACAAAGAAAATTAATAGGCAATGTATTGAAGTTTTTAGATGCTTTATAAAATGTTTCACTTTATTTGGAGAATGCAAATGACTGACAATTTAATTTGACGTGCATCCCATACACGCTGTGCAATCAATACTACGAACAATTATTATTTTACTAAGGGCAAATGGCGCTAGTGTTATTGCCAAGTTGAAACAAACACTACAAGGATACAATTGTATGTAAACTAATATATGCATTCCAAAAAGTATCCCTGATCTTTTCTTGGCCTTTAATAAGAGTGACTTGGTATCACTAGCACCTATGCCGTAATCACATGGCCTTTACTTATTTATTTAGTTTAGAAAGTTTTTATAAGAAATCAATGATTTTTTATTCATTGTTGCGCTGCGTGCATTCACAGTCAGTATTTAGACTATATAGAAGTGGGGTATAAACTCGACATAATGTTAGGTTGATTGTTATTTAGTTAGCTAACTATTGTAAATAACTAGACGACAAACATTTTATTATTTAATTTGTAATATTTCGTGTGATCAGACTGTTATTCTATGATTTATTTGTTATACGAGAGTTGTTGCTTTTTTCGTAGACAATCAGAACATATCTTATAGGTATTAAAATTAATAGATTTTCCTCTGAAATTGGCTTGTTTTAATTTAATTGCTATTCAAATAACTATGTATTTAGTGTAATTAATATTCCATGTAATTGTAACTCCATTTTATATAAACCTCATTAATGTGTACGTAAATATGTGTCTGTAACCGCAATTATATCTGTCTATAATTTATATTTAATGTACGATAATGTGATGAAATGTTACTTCATTCGATATTGGTTGTAAAATGAAATGATTTAATAAAGTAACTGATATGTAACCATTTGTCTTTTAATTTTGTTTGCTAAATTTTTAAGCATTTTAATAAAATAAGTCGTATTCTGTCCGAAAAGTTTGGTTTCCGAACGAATAACTCCTGTCTCGAACAGATATTTCGCTTAACGAATCCCATCCTTCATCACAAAAGTTTGAGCACTCTCTTTGATGTCGCAACTCTATGAGCTGTTCCCACTCATAATGTCTGAAAGGTTCCTGCAAGCCATCCAAGCATTTTCTGTCGAATCTCTCTTTTCGGTGCTAAGTAGAGAGAGGAAAGTTCAGGTAGTACAATAAAAAATCCTCCGCATTGCAGACGGTGTGGGTTGGTATCAAATAAACATTGACTTACCTGTGTAAGTCCATTTTCAATCAAATGTGCATTTTGTCGATTGCAGAGTCTTCTAAGGTTATGAGATCACATTTTTTTAAGCGAGCCGGCGATTCACCGTATGGGAAGTGATAACCGTCGCATTTGCAACACCCGTAGGGTTGCAGATGCGTTGCAAATTTTTAATAAAGTGGGCCCCGGCTACGTCACTCACCAGATTAAACGCAGAAGTACTTCTACTTCACGCCGGGCTTCTGTGAGGTCGCGGTCGAAAGTGAAGGCATTCGTGCTACAGCGTAGACTGTTACGTGGTCCTACCACAGACATTAGACGAACATTAAAACAATAAGGAAAATCATCCCGATTCCCTTATGGTAAAAGCACTAAATTACCACAAATAAACTGTATGGAAACGTCGTCCGCGTAAGGTAGGGTCGAGGAACCTCATAAACCCGGTTGAACAAGAGGAGGCAAATATTCCGTGCTCGTCTACAACTGGTACGGTACGTACAAAAGTTACGTCCCCTTTAAACATTAAGATAGTATACGGCCACCAGAGCCTCGGTAAGCACAGGACCCCGATGGCCCTTAGGTGATGATTCCGGCCTCAGCAGATAACATAGGCTTCAGATCATGTATGGCTCTACCCACGGTCTCTACACGGAAGATGGTATAAAGGTCATGGAATGGGACTGTTGCAAGTGGAATGCATTAGTTGAAGCTGTAATAGTCTACAGACTGAAAGAGTAAACCAACATGGCCCGCTTTTAAAACTTATACTTAATAAGAAAGTTTTTAGGTCATAAATTCGCCTACTTTTTGCCCACTGTCCCATTTCTACCACGTCTACTATAAGTGTTGATGCAATCAGTGATATTAATTGCACAGGCTCGTTAAAGTCTCTTAAGTATTCTCTTAAACGTGTTAAATAATAAATTAAAAATTAAACGTTCTCATACGAGGTTATTTCAGATGTACTCCATTTTTTTTATTACTATCGAATAACCTATCTAATCTATGTAAATAAGCAGTGATATTTGCTATCAATACAGCACCCTGTAAAATCTTTAAAGAAGCGTCAATAACACACTTAAATATGCATGCCTAAACAAATCCGTTGCTTAAAAAACACCTTCGACATCTATGCACTCCTCCATCCTCTGGGATAATGCTTAATAGTTAGTTTAGTAGTAGTTTCAGACATTACATCTCGCGATTTAATCGCAATCGCATCTTCTGTAGAGTGGCCATTATCAATTATATTTATTATAATTAAATTGTATGTAAAATTTGTATTAAATGTGTTATAATGACGACATTTTTATTGCCTCTTGATTGAATTTTCCATATCTGGTTTACAGGTCCCGCGGAAGTGCTGTACAACATCATAGTGTCGTAAACGTGCAGTCGTGCACTAACTAGGGGCGGGAAACTCCTATACAAAGCCGATCGAGTATTTTTTGTAGCGACATCTTTCTTATAGGATCTTGAAACAAATGTTATGTTTTCTTTTTTTTTAACTAGAGGTCACTATATATAAGTGATGTAGTTGTAATACAATGTTATAAATTAGAAGGTGAAAAAAGAAATGTCACCTAACAATTTTAAAATGTCCAAACGTTTGATGTTATTTAATTGCGTGTGCGCATTTATTAATTAATCTTCGTTGTTATGCACTTGTGTTTGTGGCAGTATGAATTGCAAATTTCTTTGAATTGAGTAAAAGTGTGTTTAGGGTCGAGTTGAAGATTTCTCCGCTAAACTTACGACGGCTTGTGTTTTTTACAATGTGTTGGGCGCCATTAATTAATTTTTGCGATATTTTGGAAGCTATTAGTAAGGTAAGTTTTGTGTTGTAACTTTGTAACAAAAATTTAATTCAATCATTATTAACAGTAATAAACTTGTATTTTTTTTTTAAATTGCTACTTAAAACTTTTTCTACTTATTAAACAAATTAGCACAGCACTGATATTACGGACGATGGTAAGTGTCATGATTGTTGCAGCAAAAGTCATATTCCATGCCGCACTGTATTTAAAACTTAATAATTCGAAATCCTGTGTGGCAATCCACTTTGCTCATCATTCTTAGTTATCAGATTAATAACAGGCATAAGTACGGTATTTTCTTAGATCAACTGTGCAAAACTGTTTTCTACCACTACATTTCATTACCACTATAAATTTGTATTATATTAATTATACTTTATATTTTTCAGAAACACCTGCTGTTTTGGATGCCCATATGGATAACCCTCAATATGATATATATTTATACAGTCCAACTTCGGGTTGCAGGTAAAAATCAAGTTATAATTCATAATGTAGACATAATACAATGTCAGGAATAATTCACGCTTAAACAAAAAGCAAATAAATAGACTAAACATTCAATATTCATCAGATTTAAAAAAAAAGAAGCTTTCTATAAAATGTACACTTTTTGCTAAAGCTCCTTTTAAGATGTGCTCATATTGTAAAATACAAATATTGAAAATGGCCTGTAAAGATAAAGTAATATAAGTAACATAAAATAAAAAATTAATTAAATAAGTATAAGTGATAATATAAAGTAAAGTGGGGTGCAATTTTTTTGACCGGTGCACATCAGCGACGGAACCAGTAACGCTTAGATCCCATATTTATAGAAGCCAACATATTACTACCATTAATGCAATGAGCAAATCACTGATATAATGATAAGTGCAAGGCTTGCTGGAACAAAAATTATTTTTCTCGCTACCCTTATGCATTTAAAACTTCAATAATTCAAAATCATGTGTGGTAATTCACTTTGCTCATCATTCTGAGATAGTATATAATTGACAGGCATTTCCTTAGACAAATTGTGCAAAAATATTGTTTTCACAACTAAACTTCATTATCATTATAGATATTTATGTAATTAATGAAACTTTATTATTTTCAGAAACACCTACCGTTATGGATGTCCATGGTTTACATTCTAACTACCGGTTGCAGGTAAAATTAATCTATACAGTAAATTAAACAGGAGTGTCTGTTTATAATATTAAAATAACCGCTTTTTACTAAATGCATGTGGATGTTGACATTTTTTACAATTTTTGTTCCGGTTAATCTCTGAAATGGCTGGGCCGATTTTGACGGAACTTTCAGTTGCAGATAGCTTTACAAATTTTAATTTATTTATTTTAAATTCCACGCGGACGAAATCATGGGCACAGCTAGTTTATAATTTAACAGTAATATAACAGGAAAACTCTATGCTCATACAAAAATCATGTAAAATTTATCATCCTTTAAATCTTATCCTTTAAATGAGCAATTCTTGTATATATATATGTAGTACCTGGAGGACCGAGCTTTGCTCGGTTTGTTTTTTGGTAAATCGTGTATTTTGGAAATTGCTTTATGATACAAATTACTGAGTAATGAAATATGCATAATATTTTTCGATCTTACCAACGTAATAATAAGAAAATATGAACTGGTGTTTCTCACAAAAGAAAGAAAAATAACAAAATAACAAATCGACAAATATAAAAAATAAAGAAAGTAATGATCTGGTATCGAAAAAAAAGTAAAAAATAAGTGTGTAAATGATCGTGATACGAACCGCGGCCGTCTGTTTTGGGGCCGCCCATTACCGACCGAGGTATTGTAACACTTTTTTTTTGCGGTGAAATTTACCGTCATATTCGAATGATATTTTTCATTCCCTGAAAACAGGGATAAATTTTCTAAAAATGTAACTTAGAGATTTCGATTATATATATATATTTTTTATTTCCAAAATACATGATTTACCCAAAAAACCGAGCATAGCTCGGTCCTCCAGGTACTTTTCAATAAAATGTGCACATTTTGTGACGGAACCAGTTATGTTTAGATCCACAGATTAAGAGGCAAGCCTATTTTTGACTACATGCGGTACATGAGGTACATGCTACTGAGAATTTTCTGAAAAGTTGGGCCAAATGGTTGTGGTTTTTTTATAAGGATCTTATGCTTATGCTGTGAGACCACCAAGGCAATTATGAATAATAACATTAAAAATTGTATTAGGATAACTTAACATGGGAATATGAACCTCTTTTAATATTCTCATAACTAATGTGCTAAAAGCAGTAATGCTGGTATTATACTAGATATGTGAGATGTGTATGAGACTACTAATTACATTAACCATACAGATGTTATTAGTAGTGCTGAATCCCATATATGATATTGAACATACAGTTGACATAAACATTAAATTAACGACTCTTCTGGTAAAACTAATTTGGAAAACAATATAATCCACACAAAAATATTTTCATAATATGTAAATAATAAGCTAATTTATATTTATATCTTACAGGTACAAATAAAGTAACAACTTAAAGCAAAAAATTACATAATTAAGAAGTAAAATTAGTAGACTAAGAAAAAGAAGTAAGAATTACAAAAAGAAACGTGTTTTAACTAAAATGTATATTCAAAATAAGAAACACTAAAATATCCAAAGGGACCGGCTGAAATGATGTTTGGACGATACAACAATGAATATTATTTTGTAAAGTCGGTACCGATCGATCAATCTAATTTAATGTGGGAAATAGTTGTAAGATCAGTGTAAAAATGTTATTTTAACAATCATAGATATAATAAAAGCAAGAAATAAATAACATTGTTTTACTTTCACATGTAATTGCTACTTCATACTTAATATACTTTAAGTTCTTCATAATTATAAACGTATATCCATTAATGTAGCTATATATTTTATTTATATAATAGTTACATTTAATAAGTTCACAATTTCGTGATGAATGCCTTATCAGTATGGCATTCATCATTAAATTGTGAACTTATTAAATGTTACTATTATATAAATAAAATATATAGCTACATTAATAGATATACGTATATACATCATATAGGTATATATAGGTATACACCGAATCTTTCGGAACAAGAAATATAGATGTCGCTAGCCCACGATGTTGACCAAAATAATATGCGAGATGGCTCTCTATTTCAGTAGTATTACTTTACTCTATGGCACTAACTTCATAATTCTATCCTGAGTCTAAGTCAATCCGACTTCAAAGAAATTAAAAAAAAAATTCAATTGTAATCAAATGATTATAATTAAATGTAGTGATTACAGTACTCTTTGGTTTTAATACCAATAAAGTATCTAAAAAATCGATACTTGCCTGTACTCTAATTTTGGCATCCCTATACGTGTGAAAATGAAATACGCCCTCTCAAAATCTGTCAAAAGTGCATTTTGTGTGTTAGCTAGTTTTTACTGCTAATTAAGTACTAAATTTTCTAATAAGCATAGCCTAAGGCTGTTAGTTTATTGTTGATTGTAAGATATAGAAATATTCTACAAAAGACATTAAAACCAATGAGCAATTTTTCTTCAAAATATTGATTTTTCAATTATTGCAAATTTTACTTTTGTGAATAGGCTAACGTTGCTGAAGTCATTAAAATGACCGATTCAAAATATTTTACCACCACCAAGAAGGGTGAGATTTTCGAATTAAAATCGGAGTTGAATAGTGATAAAAAAGAGAAGAAAAAAGAAGCAGTTAAAAAGGTAACTCTTCTTAATACTACATTTATTATATAAATCTTTATTTTGTGTCTATAATATTTTAGCTCTTACTTTTAAGACTTCTAACGCGTCTTATTATATGCTGCTAGCTGCATTATATACATTCAATTGTTTGAATGGATATGCCTGGTGAGTCAGTAGGTATTATGAAAACATCACAAATAATTGATAAAAATTAGACAACATGATACCTACTTAACATATTTGAATAGTTTAAATTTTAATAAAGCCTATGCTTAGGTTAATGATATTATTATAGACTGTAATAATTAATGATTGTTATACAATTCTGATTTTTATATCATTGTATTAACATTTAAATTGAGAGGAAACCATTTTAATTTCCTGTTTTTTTTGGACTACCACAAACACAAACATCCTAAGAATTACCAATTTCATAATATCTATTCTCATGCTCTAATTTGTTAATAAAAATTCCAACTAAAGCAAATGTTAAAAGCAGTAGTAGATGGTATTTTTATCATATACATTTATGTTAATCAGCTATTGAAAATTAATGGGAATATTTTTTGAGTGCTTAAAAAATGTTCTAACATCTGCTTTCCAATGTCAACTGTAACAATTGAATTTCATAATAAAATTCCTTATAAGAGTTTGTCATTGTCTGAAGTTGCGGTATGTATAGGTCTTAATCAGAAATTTATTTTAGGTTTGTTTAGTTTCTTTTATTATACTTCAGGATTTAACTATCTTTTTTGGTTCAGGTTATAGCTTCAATGACGGTCGGAAAAGATGTGTCTGCACTCTTTCCTGATGTGGTCAATTGCATGCAAACTGACAACTTAGAACTAAAGAAATTGGTGTATTTATACTTAATGAATTATGCCAAGTCACAACCTGATATGGCAATAATGGCAGTGAATACATTTGTCAAGGTATGTGGTGATTTTATCCCTGTGTTGTCTTTGTAACAACTGTGTTTAGTAATATTCTTATTTTTAACAAAAATTCCAAGAAATTGATTTTATAACTTGCTTTTATTTTTCATTTGCATATTTGCAATATTAAAGAAATGAAATTTGTGAATATCTCTATGAAAATAAGTAATTGTTTATAAATCAATGTTTTTAATGTTGGAACAGATTTGGTAAAATGTGAAAAAAAATTTAGATTGTAATAACAGCACAAAGATTTCTGAATATTTGAGCATGGAAATTTCAAAAGTATCATATCATATATTTAAGTACTAATTATTTCTATCTAAGAGTAGTGTAGATATCTGTGTGTGTGTGACTTGTCTTTTTTATCGTTTTAATGTCTACTGTACCATATTATGATGGGTGGAAGGATCTACCAACATACCAGCTTGTTAAGGTAATTGATCCAAAAACAATCATCTCTCTGTAGATTTACACATTTATAATGTAACCATCATTGACCTTTGCACATTTGTGTACCAAATAGTGATTGAAAAGATGTATAAACCACCCTGCATGCTATGACGAAATTTGCATGTTGCAATATTAATGTTATTAAGGCAGTTTAAACCTATCACTAGCACACAGATGTGTAAATCTACATTTAATATCAAAATTTATTATATTAACTATTAAAATCTGAAATATAGAATTGATACATATATGAATTCCATGCCTCATTACATTATTATGATTAGAAGCACTTGGGCTATTTATTCCTGTAACATTTGATATAAATTCGTTATTCGTAACATAAGTATTTTCTGCCTAACAAGGTTAAGAGGATTATCACAATGTGATTTCGTTTTATATTTAATTATGATATGAAAATTGCACACTGCATTCTACTTGTCATGTTAAATCTTGTACTAAGTAAAATTACTTTAATTCTTTTGTTCATTGTGGTTTATATGTTTAAAAAAATGGTGTCTCAGCTAATAAACGAATAGCGAATTTTTACCATAAATGCTCTTAGTAGAATTGCTGTGGTATGATAAATGTATTGCTTGATTTTGTGCATTGTATTCTGTTATAATGAAATAATACACCGTCATCAGGACTGTGAAGATTCAAATCCTTTGATTCGGGCATTGGCCGTGAGGACCATGGGATGCATCCGGGTGGATAAAATCACTGAGTACTTATGCGAGCCCCTGCGGAAGTGTCTGAAGGATGAGGATCCATACGTCAGGAAGACAGCAGCGGTTTGCGTTGCAAAGTTGTATGATATATCGTCCAGCATGGTTGAGGATCAGGTATGAAGAGATTAAAAAATCTTGTTTTGTTTGATATATAACTTTTTATGAATATATTTGAGATTTGCCATTAGAATTCCAGAAAGATATCCATATAAAGTACAATAGGTAATACACAGCGTGTCTTTACCATCGCAACAATAAATGAACACACATATAGAGGATAACTTTTTAAAATTGTATTATAGAACTACATTCTTTAAACATCAATATTTACCGAGTTATCAGATTTTCCAAACAAAGAATTTTAGAACACCCTTACATATAAAACTTTAATGTAAAGTTCATTTGTAAAGTTCACAAAGCATATGAGTGGGTTGAATGAATTTAAAAGAGACAAAACATACTGTGGCAACGAATGAAAAAGTCTCTGAATGTATGAATCAGTCATAATGATGTTACAAATTTTGTTTCTTTTTTACTTAAGTAGTTTGTTTGAAAAATATTTTTTTTTATTATGGATTTTCTTACGTTAATATTTTTTTATGATTATTGGCAAGTAGCGTTAGACGTCTGTTACATTTATTGTCGCTGTGGTAAAGACACGCTGTATATAGAATTAATAATCTACTTGTGTTTGAATATCAAGCTCTAATTTAACAGGAATTCTTGGTTAGTAAAGCCCCCTTATATATTATTGATGTCGACGTTTCGATATTTGACTGGTCACTGGACGTCGATAATTTTCGACTGTTCAGACAAATTACCACTAACAAGACCGATTAAAAGACTAGAGAATGATAGCAGTCGATTCGGTGGGACCCGTTCACCAAAATCTAGTGAGGGTGCGTCTTATACTCAAATACTTTTGAGTACTTATATAATAAAAAAAGTATAAAAAAACCGCAGAGTTTCACCGGTTCTTCTATGGACAGATCTAGTTTAGTGAACCGGTTTTGACGTTCAATATGAGCTTAAAATAAGCCTATATTGTATAAAGAAATATTGCCTTTGAAGTTTAGAAGCGAATCCCTTCGCTCACAGTCATTCATTCACTAACAGCGTGGTTTTATAACATATATAATTCTCAAAGATTTTAGTAAAAGACCTATCGTTATCTTTATAGAGAAACGTAACAGTATCTCTGGGATAACATTATTCTGTATTGTAAGGACGTTTTACAAACATAAATTGCAGGAGGACAAACACCCAGATGCGAAACAACTAACTGTGGGTCGCGCAAATAGTTGTCCCGTGTGGGAATCGAACCCACGACCCCCGACGCCGAAGCCCATACCTTGACAACGGCGCCACGGGGTCATCGAACATCGCACATTGGATAAAGGGGTGCGGAAATATTTAAAACTTTCACTGTGCAGGGCTTCCTGGACCAGCTGAAGGATTTGCTCAGCGACTCCAACCCCATGGTGGTGGCAAACGCTGTGGCAGCTCTCTCGGAGATCAACGAAGCCAGTGTCTCTGGGCAACCGCTTGTTGGTGCGTATTCATTACTAATTTCATCCCAGAAAACGTTCAAAATGAATCCGTCGCTAAATTCAAAAAAACTTGTAAAGGAACGTTTGTGTTAATGGCTATATAGTATTAGTGATTATTTGAATGATAATACACTCTGGAAATGAATTGATCGCTCCAGGCTCTTTCAAGTGGAATTTAATAAATTGTATCCATGTTTGTATTTTTTTTTTGTCAAGTTAAAAAAAATGTCCCGCTGAGTTTCTTACACCGGTTCTTCTCAGGTCAGTGGCTTTCCTTCCGAACCGTTGGTAGAGTTTTTTGACTATCAATAAGTAAATGTATTCTTCTATATTGAATAAAGATATTTGACTTTGACTTTGAAAAAATGGGATTCGCGGTATCCAACCTAGTACTTACTTCCCACTATGAGGGCATGAATACTCTTAATAAAAGAAGTACTTACAAAAAAAAAACCGACAAGAAATATCTTGCACACTATGCATTTTCTAATTGATTTTGAGAAGTTCCCTTATGTCCGGTGTCCACGGTCCAATACTAATTAAATTAATATATGACCAAGTGACCAAAATCGAATCATAAATAAACAAAATTCCGAGGTAACAAAAACGTACAATCGAATTTAGAACGTCCTTCTTTTTTGAATTCGGTTGAAAATACATTATATGTCATTTCCATGGTTCAAAGGAGCGCTGATTGCACTAACCTATTTTCAAATACAAGCGAGGGTGTGTTTTATAATAAAAATGAAACCTAAACTATTCAAACATAAATCGGAATGAAATAACGATCCGTACAAGGACGGACGGTGGCAACGATAACTCTACGGGTTTCTCAAACTTCCACGGGCGGCGGTTGTCACTTAACAAGACGTTAACTGCCAGCTCGCGAAATTTTATTATTATCTGGTATAGCGAGCAACATCGGTGAAAATTTCAACTGCCTTAATATCGCGGTTTACGTACAGCCTGGTGAAAGACGGACAAACAGACAGAGAGACAGATATTGAAGTCTTAGTAATGGGGCCCCTTTGGGTACGGACCTAAAAAGGCTATGCTATTCTGTCGTTCCAAACAAACAAGACAGTGAAACCAACGAGTAAAGTTATCTTTATTTTTTGATTTAAAGAACAGGAACTTAACGTCTCACAGCCTTTTTACCCGACTGCGCCAGAAAGAGGGCTATGTTTTACGACATATGTATGTATAATTGTTTGGCACGCTCTGCAGCCTGAATGCCTTGATGGATTTTAGCTTGAGAGGTGTCGTTAGATTCGTATTTACTTTGAGAGTGATACTGGGCATATCAAAATCTTCCAAATTACACAGAAACGCAGTCGCTAAGGGAATTAACAATGAGTTTTTTTGTTATACACCAGAATATCTCGCAGAATGATTGGACAATTCACACAACATCTTTATAAATTATAGCCTATGTGTTATTATGATGTATAAACTATTTATTAACTAATGTCATTAAAATCTGTTCAGTAGTTTTTGCGTGAAAGAGTAACAAACCTCCATTCATACATACAAACTTTCGCGTTTATAATATTACTTACTATATGTTAAACGCTTCTTCACCCGTGCAGTCAAAGGGAATTAACAATGAGTTTTTTAATATACACCAGAATAGCTCGAAGATGGCAGAATTTTTTCCTACTTATTCAACACTTAATGTTATATTTTGGATAATTCACACAATATCTTTATAAATTATAGCCTATGTGTTATTCTGATATATAAGCCATATAATTATAAAGTTATATATTGTAAAGTTTCATTAAAATCCATTCAGTAGTATTTGCGTAAAAGAGTAACAAACATCCATCCATACGTACAAACTTTCGCGTTTACAATATTGAGTAAGGAAAGTGAGGAAGTAAGGATATCCAGTCGTTAAAGGCCAGTTAGTCGGCCTCCCTCTAGGTGGACCGACGACATCATCAACAGCAAAGTGTCGTTCGTTGTGGCGTTCTAAGGGGGAGGCCTATGTTCAACAGCGGACGTCTTGCGGCCGATGATGATGATGATGATGGAAGGCCAGTAGATTAGCGCCACATCCGCTTCCGCCGCAGAGATGAACGCGCCCACCATCAACAAGCTGCTCACCGCGCTCAACGAGTGCACCGAGTGGGGCCAGGTGTTCATACTGGACGCCCTCTCCAACTACTCGCCGAAGGACGCGCGCGAGGCACACTCGATATGCGAGCGAATCACTCCCCGGCTGGCGCACGCCAACGCGGCGGTGGTGCTGTCCGCCGTGAAGGTGAGCTTACCCATGGGGTTGGCGTATCTTTATAGATAAAAACCCCCATAAAAATAAAGGTAATAAAAAAAAATAAAAAAGGTGAGCTTACCCGCTCTGTGGCCCGACGGGGTGTGCAAAAAAAGTCTCTGCATACACTGTCGTACCAGACAAACGAGACAGTGCAAGAAGCTATAAGCTCCCGTCCCTACAGCGATGAGTTCGATCCGTCGGTTGCCCTTGGCACACGGAAGATTGCCGCCCCCAGCATATTCGTTGTATAGCATAAGACAAACCATCATCATCGTCATTTCAGCCTGTTTGTGGAACTTACGTTTACTTTTTGACTTAAAGACAACGAACTTAACATTTCACAGCCTTTTCAAAGTCGACTTTGGATATCGTTTAAGTAACCTGCTGTCAATAACTTAGTTTGAAATCTCTATGCACGCCACCAGTAGTATGACATAATATCTTTTGAACTCTATTAACAATGTAACATTTGTTCAAGGTTTCGAACGGTTACGAAATAGCGAATAACATTTAAACTTAGAAAGTAAACTCTAATTTAACTTTAAACTATAACATTGTTATTATATCAGGACTTGTATAGATTCGAAATAACCGGTAAAAAAAAAATTAATACTAAAAACTCGATCTAAATTTTAAAATATATTCAAGAACTAGATACACATCAAAATCATATAACAATGATCAGCATCCTTTCGGTATTTAGTCTTAAATGTATAACAATCGCCTAATACACTTGAAGGTGCTGATGAAGCTGATGGAGATGGTGTCCGAGGACACTGAGCTGGTGAACACCCTGTCCCGGAAGCTGGCACCGCCCTTGGTCACCCTACTCAGCGCCGAGCCCGAGGTGCAGTACGTGGCGCTGAGGAACATCAATCTGGTCGTGCAGAAACGTCCCGACATCCTTAAGCACGAGATGAAGGTACACCAGTAAATAACTAGCCTCTAGCCTCTAGCCTCAGTCATTGAGACTGGGTAGGTTGTGTTACAACAGTAATGCTGTGATCAGTGACAGAAATAGGTTTTTCAACAGGAACCGAAAGGTCTTTGTCTCAGTTTCGGCGGAAACCGAAATCGAATCTTACTTGAACATATTAAATTTTGTCTTAATAAATTATAATGAATGTCGGTAAGCGCATAACTCAAGTATGGCTGGACCAATTCGGCCTATTTCTTTTTTTGTATGTTTCTTAAGATCCACGGAAGGTTTTAAGGCTATTAAAAAAATAGAACGAAGTTTGCTTACGGACAGCTAGTTACGTAATGAAATCTAGTGTATTTTTTAGACATTTATTTGCTTATACATACGTATACTTAAAAAGCTATGTTGCCGGTTCGCAAAAACTATCACTAAATCAAACACGCGTCTTGCCTCATTGCAATAAAACATTCATGTAGCTAAATCTAGTTCATCTTTTCGATAGTATAACTTTTTTTTCAACAGACAACCGAACCAGACTACGCAAGAGCCACGAACGAGACTAAAGCGCGCATTTTACGTATAGAATAGAATGGATTAGAAACCATTAATTAAATACATCACACAATACCAATTAACAAACGACATATATAATTACAGGTGTTCTTCGTAAAGTACAACGACCCGATCTACGTGAAGCTGGAGAAACTGGACATAATGATACGGCTCGCGTCGCAGGCGAACATAGCGCAGGTGCTGGGCGAGCTGAAGGAGTACGCCACCGAGGTAGACGTGGACTTCGTGAGGAAGGCGGTTCGAGCCATCGGCCGATGCGCCATCAAGGTGAGACCTCTCTCTTTCGAAGTTATACTTCTTTAGGCTCGTTGGGAAAAAAAATATTGTCGTTATTATTAGCCGTAAAACGCCCACTGCCGTTTGCATCCAACGGTCGCCCGCGACTCTTACTATATCGTTGGCCCACCTAGAAGGAGGCCTTCCAACGCTACACCTACCGGTTCGTGGTCGCCACTAAACAACTTTTACTCCCAATCGGCCGTCAGTTCTTCGAGCGATGTGGCCTGCCCATTGCCTTTTCATTTTCTTCAGCTTGAAGATAAAATTATGAGAGTAAAGTTTTTACACCGACGGTCAATAAGGGACATGATGATGCGACCGCTTTGCGACCAACTTCATCAAGTTCACGGTATTACCCAGGAAACAAGTAAAAACTTTTTGGTGTTTACCGAGTTGTATTCCAAGTTATTCTATAAAATTTTACATTTGGCTTTTACACAAACAAAAAGTTCTGGATAATTTTTTTGGTAACTTTTCTTTTGCTACACTAAAGAAGTATAACTTCTTGCGTGTGTACTCAGTACTCACATGTCTTTCTCTTATATGGTGCACCTGATGTGAAATGATAAGTGCTGCCCATGGATATTTACAACACCCGTAGGATTTCAGATGCGTTGCTATCTGTTACTACCCAGTGGGCCCCAGTTTCCTCACTCACCAGACGAAACACAGAAGTGTAACACTTCCATTTCACGCCAGTCTTCTGTAAAGTCGGGGATCCTCCCCAGACTGACCTGCTCATTCGTGCAACATTGAAGACTTGCGTGGCCTAACAGTTAAACTTAAGCTATAAAGTTTGTATTATGAAAACGTTTCAATTATTCTGTAATTCATTTTATCTTACTTCATATAATAGAACTTATACTATACTACGTGCAATATACAACATACTATATATATATATATATATATGTATATAGTTATTCGTTCTAGGAGTTGTTTGATCCAGCGTTACGTATGATCAGTTTTTTGTTGGTCCGCTCAAATTTGTTGATCCATACCCGATTTGTTGATCCAATACAATATGTATGTGATTTTGTGGCTCCATTCGGATCAACAACTTCTCGTCAATATCTTTTTGAAAGTAGCTACAATTTATACAAATCCACTCCGTACTTATTTGATCCAATTCAAACGGACGAATCACAGATCACAGCAGCATTCATTGGTTGAAATCATCACTTTACGTCAGTGCCTACTTATTAAGAAGAATTACTGTATCTCGTGAATGTGATATTTGTTGAAATACATGCTATAAAGGGCCAGCAATATCTAGCGCTCGCGCGCTTTTCAGATTCACATGCTATATTTTAATGTAAATTCGTTGCGCGCGTGATGGATTATTTAAGAATTTACATATAATAATTAATCAATATCTCGGTAATCGGTATCAATACTCGACTGTTAATTATTTAAATCACGTATAAAATAAATGTTTTTTTTTATGTGAAAAGTTTCCAAGCGAGCAAGCGGTTCACCTGATGTTAAGTGAGTACCGTCGCCCATGTACATCTGCTAAATGAAATACTGAAAATTGGGCTCCGGCCACCTCACTCACCAGACGAAACGCGAAAGTATTATACTTCCACTTTAAACCGGTCTTCCGTGAGGTCGTGGTACTTACCCGGACGAGCCAGCCCATTCGTGAAACAGCCGAGGCTGCTGCGTGGCTCTACCGCCGTTCTTCTTCTCTGTACTTCTACTTCAATATTTAAAAACTAATGTTGAAGAATAAATAAGACTTGGAGTGTTCTAGTCGTATCTTCAATAGTTTATAAATAATTTTAATAGCAATGGAGAATACCTGTTGTTACCTGAATAGGTAACAACAAGTCCAAGTGTACAATAATTTTAAAAATTTTATAAAAAATAATAAACAAAATTTTTCGTAATTCGTTTGTTTATAAACAAGCGTCTGTTCACAAAACCAAATAAAAAATGAATTAAATTATAATTTTTTATGATGTAACAACGTGATAAATTATGATTTTATTAAAATGGTTCCTTAATGTTAACACTAAGCAACAAAAAAATGTAATTTAGAAAAAGCGTTTTTAGCAGTGAAAATTTTTTTTCTTAAATGTCATATTTTCATTAAGCATCATATTCCTAAAAGAAAAAAAATTGAAAATCTTATAAACAATGTATTTATTTATTATAATTACAATTCAAGTAATTTTTTTTAAAGGAACAGAATAATCAAAAAATTTAAAAAAATCTTGATTGATTTATTAATGTTTTTCATATTTCAATGCCTTAGATTGGTAATAAAACAATGAAAAATTAGAATTTTTTTGGCAATCTTTTCTAAACTCTCTCAAGAAGTGACGAAAATATTCTGGGTTAGACTACATAGAAATAATCTTAATTTTTTTTTCGTCCTATTATTATTTATTCATGTGTCTAGAAAGAACTATATTTTATATTCCTTAATATTCTATTTTATTTGGTTAAAATAATCTTTTAGAGTCCCTTTTGATGTAAAGATTTGTCCGATAAATCGCACATTATCTCTTAACTAATCTTACTTTAACCCACTGAATAGCACTAGCTTAAACACTATTGATTACATAATAAATATTAAAAATTTATTCTCTTGTAACCAAACTCATATTTGATAATGAGTTGAGCAATGACTTGTAAACGAATTTTAACAGTTAAAATTAAACTAAAATATTGTCATCCTCGTCTCTTTAAAGAAATTTTCACACTACATCATTTGTCGCAATACATTATTGCGACCATTGTTGATCCGTTTCCTGGTGCAATAGTAGCAATATATTGTACAACTAGCTTGCGCCCGCGGCTTCGCCCGCACATTATATCGTGCTTAAAAATACCTATGGAACCCTTCGTACGCAACTCCAACTCGCACTTGGGCGATTTTTTTTTACTTTATATAAACCATCATTTTACAGACCATAGTTAACTATAGTTTCATCGCACAAATCTACAATATGGTTCTTTAAGTTGATATAACTTTTTTATTTATCATCCGACTTAAATAAAACTAACAATAAATGTTAAGAGAAGCTTACTACAATGCATTTGTAAAAGTTGCACTGAAATCGGAAAGGCCGTATTAGCCAAGTTAGAGCACACAGACAAACAGATAAACAGACAATAATTTTAACTATAATTGTTTTGGGTTCTACTGCGTTGATAAAGGCCCCTAATAATGGCTTTTCTCAAATATATTCTATGTACAAACAACAATCAGTTAAATTTTTATTAAATGTATGATACATACATCGGGATAATATTTGGATGCCTACTTAGGAGTACAGCATTTTGGGCTTCACCTCTATCCAATTAATACAGGCTGCATGTGCTAACAAGCATAACAACAAAACTATACACTTTATAGTAAGTAGGTATTTTGATAATGTCCCAAGGATTCATTAATATTAAGCGATAATATCTACAATATTAAAATATTTATTGACTTGCATCCTATGGTAAACTAATTAATATGAAATAGGGTATAACCATCACTTTGTCAATTATATTTATCTACGTTATTATATTCGACATATGGTAACAGTTTACTCAATAGAAAATGTACATGGAAATTCAGTTCTTATTACAAACACCGTGGAATTAATTTTACGAACACTGACGTCGAGCTGCGTATGCGCGCTCACAGGGATCAAGAAATGTTTAAAAAGTGCCGGAGAAAAAACCGTTACGCGGAGCCACAAATACTTTGGAAAAGTATAAAACAACGCTTAGAGTATATTGCTGAATTTATAAATATGTCTAAGCGACACAATACGCTGTTCAAATATATGCTTTCCGTCCTTTAAAATAAAGGTTAAGGGCAAGTCAATTTGGACAGAAAGGTGGATCAACAAAGTACTCTTTTAATTTTGCTGGATCAAACAAGTTATGGAAAAGGACTATATACAGCGTGTCGTTACCATCGCGACAATAAGTGAACACTCGTCTAACGCTACTTGCCAATAATCATAAAAAAATATTAACGTTAAACAAAATCCCTAATTAAAAAATTTTTTTTTCAAACAAACTAATTAAGTAAAAAAGAAACAAAATTTGTAACACCTATACAACTCGCGCCACAGCATCGCATTACAAGCCTCTCCTTCTAAGAGTATGTTTTGTCTCTTTTAAATTCATTCAACCCATTCATATGCTTTGTGACCTTTACAAATGAACTTTACGTTACGCTTTTATAGGTAAGGCTGTTCTAAAATTCTTTGTTTTGGAAAATTTAATAACTCTGTAAATATTGATGTTTAAAGAATTTAAATGTTTAATACAACTTTAAAAAGTTATCCCCTATAAGTGTGTTCATTTATTGTCGCGATAGTAACGACACGCTGTATATATATATATATATATATATATATATATATATATATATCATAAAGTTCATTTGTAAAGGTCACAAAGCATATGAATGGGTTGAATGAACTTAAAAGAGACAAAACATACTGTTAGAAGGAGAGGCTTGTAATACGACGCTGTGGCGCGAGTTGTATAGGATGTTACAAATTTTGTTTCTTTTTTACTTAATTACTTTGTTTGAAAAATATTTTTTTTAATTATGGATTTTTTTAACATTAATATTTTTTTATGATTATTAGCAAGTAGCGTTAGACGTGTGTTCATTTATTGTCGCGATGGTAACGACACGCTGTATATATATAACATACTTCATGTAACAATTATTTTATCATAATTAATATAATAGAATATAAGAGTGTATCAGCAAAAGTAAAAGAAAATTGTCTCTTAGGTGGAGCCATCCGCGGAGCGCTGCGTGTCCACTTTGCTCGAGCTTATCCAGACGAAGGTGAACTACGTGGTGCAGGAGGCGATCGTGGTGATAAAGGACATCTTCCGCAAATACCCCAACAAGTACGAGAGCATCATCAGCACGCTCTGCGAGAACCTCGACACGCTGGACGAGCCCGAAGCCAGGGCGTCCATGGTGAGCCGTTTTGCACTCTATGCCCTTGCATTAATGCACAAATTACTCCTACACCTGATTGATGACTCTGTGGCGAAGTTGCCATGGTACAATTCCAGAGACAACTATTTGTGTGACCCACAGATTATTGTTTTAGATATTGGCTAGTCCATGCAAAATTTATGTTTGAATTGAATGTTATCCTACAGTAAGGGCAGTGTTTTCGAAGAGAAAACTACAATAGATCTTCTAGGTTCAAGTAGCCGTTGGAACATACAGCCCTTTCACAAAAATTTCCCCTGATTGAGAAGCTACCTGCTAACCTGGCTTATATTCCTTTTCTTGAAGAAGAGGATATGTAAGATATTATGTCTAACACTATTAACCGCTATACTATGAAAACAAATACAGTTATATTAATTATAAGAGAAATTGTACTACAGTTTATGATCAAAGGTTGATTTGACAGATATATCTTTCACTAGTCTTAAAATAAAAATCAATCATATTTAATTTAAAACCATAAACCTAAAATTGGAATTGGAATTGGAATTTAATTTAAAAACTATCTAGTAATTAAGTTTTGTTTTAATAAATATTTGTTGTTACACAGGTCTGGATAGTTGGCGAGTATGCGGAGAGAATTGACAACGCTGACGAGTTACTTGACTCCTTCCTCGAGGGTTTCCACGATGAGAACGCACAAGTGCGTATAATTATTACTTTATTGAATAAATTTGTATACATATGTAAAAGAAAAACTTTGTGAAATTTGTCTGTCGATTCACAGCCTTGTGGTTGTACGGAAATTATTTGGAAATTTCACTCCTCGGCAGTTTATAGATTATGCAAATTGAATCGATCTTCAAAGACATATCAAGACATCACTACAAGTGGCATAAGTTGCTGCAAGTTGTGAATTTAATACAAAATGATTGTGTTCATTTCGATTCCCTTTATACAAGTGGTATGTACTGTTGAATATTAAAGTAGCCTAATATTCCATCAGGTTCAACTGCAGTTGCTGACCGCTGTCGTGAAGCTTTTCCTGAAGAGGCCTGCCGACACTCAAGAGCTGGTGCAACACGTGCTCAGTCTGGCCACTCAAGACTCTGACAACCCTGACTTGAGGTGAGCATACTTCGACTAGCAATATGCACAGCTAGTCTTTTGCACAAAATACGCACGGGACAACATGCGCTTATTACAGACATCCGTGTTTATTGAGATCATCCTCCACAGACTAACTCACTCAAAAGACAAAATACAAAAGTATGAAACTGTGCACTACACACTGTTTTTCTGTGAGGCATGGCATGACCCAATTCAGAAGAGTTGGGCTTTTTGTGAAACACTAGAAGCAATTTACAGGCTTTTTGTTAAATTGCTGAAAATTAAAATAAACGCAATATGTTGCCTACTTAACAAAAGAACAATTTTACAATGAGAGTTTATTATTTCATACGATAATTTTAGCGGCAAGCTTAATTTGTATGCCACACGCGTAATCATTAGCTTACCCAATATCTGATATACTGTCCTTTTTACAGCCGAATCTATAACGAATGACCGAACGTTTCACAGAGACCGGTGGCTTCATCTACTGGCGGCTGCTGTCCACGGACCCTGCCGCCGCCAAGGAGGTGGTACTGGCCGACAAGCCGCTCATCTCCGAAGAGACCGACCTCCTGGAGCCCACGCTGCTCGACGAGCTCATCTGCCACATCGCCTCACTGGCCTCCGTCTACCACAAGCCGCCCACTGCCTTCGTAGAAGGTGATTATGGAACTCATGGTCATATGTTTATGACTCCGTGGCTCAGTTACCTAGGTATTGGCTTTGAAGCCGGGGGTTGGGCTCGTTTCGTACACGAGACAACGATTTTGTGTGACCCACCACAGATAATTGTTTCGGATCTGTGTGTTTGTTCAGATGAAGTTTATGTATGTAACATGTAGGGTTGCCAACAGTAAAGTATCTCATATTTAAAGTAGAGAAATATAAAGTATTTGGAAGAAAAAATAACTATTTTTTGAACCAATGTTTTTGATACGTCATAAAATATAATTAACGGCAAAATCTTCTAATTTGAAAGTGTTCTGTTTTAACTTTATAGTATCAATAAAAGTTCAGTAATTGTTTTATTTCCTACATCATAGTAAATATTGAAAAGTAGAGTATTTTCACATTTTTATAGAAAATTATAAAGTATCTTTACCAAAAATAAAAGTAAAATACTTTGTTATAAAGTATGGTTGGCAACCCTAGTAATATGTCTTTACAGTATAAGCTAATGTTAGCCTACAGTAACGGGGCAATGTTTTAGGCAAGACTGATAGATCTATCTAGGTTGCCGTGGTTGTTGGAACTCACTACCCATCTCCTACCACACAAAATACGAATACAGAAAATATCGAAATTATGTCGTATATAGCGAGATTTTAAAGTTGAACCTTTTAGATAACTTCTCTATCAGAACCTAAACTGTATCTGTTATGTACATTAAAGTTTTATAAATTGTCTAAAATTGTAACTGAGTTATGATGTAAGGTACAAATTTTCGGACAGGATAACCGCTGTTTTTTTTTTAATGTTAAGTTTTTTAGATTTTTTAAATATATGTATATTTAACAATTTAGGCCGCGGAGCGGGTGTACGCAAGTCTCTGCCGTCGCGCGGCGTTGTTGCGGATGAAGCTATGCCCCAGCAACCGACCGTCATACCCAACCAGGTGATAAACTAATCTATTAGTAATTGTATAAATGCTCATATGCATTTGCTAAGAGATTATTATTAATTTTTTATATTCACTGGTTAGTACATAATACATGTATATAACTTATAATTTAAGTAATATGTATATTTATGCAATATTCAGGAAAAGAAAAAACAACAATTATGTATGTAAATACACCATAATTGTAATTTGAGAGTATAAATTGTTAATAGTGTTTCATGATTTTAAATACTTTTTTTTTATGTAATTGGTGTCATCATCGAATAACTGTCTTTTGGAACGACTCAGGAATTCCATCTTTTTTTTTTGGAAGTAAACTGTCTCAACGAGATTTTTTATAATGTATCCAAATTTTTACAGGAGTCGCTCATCGGTGATTTACTGTCCATGGACATCTCGGGCCCGCCGCCAGCCGCCGCGCCAGCTTCGAACCTGGACCTCCTCGCCGGTGGTCTCGACGTGCTTGTGAGTAACTGCCTGGACGCTTATATAAAATTATTTAAAAACTGAAACGAACATAATACCTATCCGTTTTAAGGATGGAATAATGTTCCCACCGTCGTTTCGTCATATAGTGTCAGATAGTGCGATTTAATTGCACGTTGTATCACCAACACTTATTATTTAAGTTAAAGATTGACCAAGATTACAAACCAAGTGGCCGTTTTATACTGGGTCTTCATTATCATTAAATTCAAATTCAAATAATCTTTATTCAAACAGACGCTTGCGCGTTCTTATGAAATGTCGAAGTTTACATAAATAAATGGGCGCTAGTGGACACAATAGAGAAGAATCGCCGATTTTGAACACGTGAACGTGAGCCGAGCGCGACGAAGTTAGTTACGTTGACGATTGTGTGACGATACTCCCCAGCTGGGCGGCGGGGCGGAGAGCAGCGCGGCGGCGAGCACTACGGGGCTGCTGGGCGACATCTTCGGCGTGGCGGCGACGCCCGCCTCCTTCGTGCCGCCCAAGCAGTGCTGGCTGCCGGCCGACAAGGGCAAAGGTGCGCACGCACACACATTTTTTTTTTATGTGAAAAGTTGCCAAACGACCAGACGGCCCACCTGATGTTAAGTGAATACCGCCGCCCATGGACATCTGCTACACCCCAGGTTTTGCAGATGCGTTGACAACCTTTTTGGAAATTGGGCTCCGGCCACCTCACTCACCAGACGAAACATGAAAATATTATACTTCCACTTTACGCCGGTCTTCTGCGAGGTCGTGGTAACTACCCGGACGAGCCTGCCCATTCGTGCAATAGCCGAGGCTGCGTGGCCTTACCACCGTTCGACACATACACACTTTTTACAAAAAATCTGTGTATAAAAAATGTATTTAGCTCGGAGTAGTGGCTTTTTTTCGAACTGGTACTATCATTATCCCTCCACACAAATAAAAAAAAATATTTGTGTTGTATTATTCTGCGAATAAAACTAAAATTTTGAAACCTTAATAATTGCGCGCATCGGCCTTCTTTTCGGACAAAATTTCTATTTTTTATAATATTTCTTAGGCCTGGAGATCTGGGGCACATTCAGTCGCCAAAACGGACAACCACGCATGGAAATGACCTTCACGAACAAAGCAATGCAAGCTATGAGCGGATTCGCCATTCAACTGAACAAAAACAGGTGATTTATTATTAAGGTATAAAGTTTATTAATTTTCGGTGAGATGATTCGTTGTGTTTACTATTAAAATACAGGTGTTGCAAAGTCTGTCCCAAACACAAATGGTGAGATTTGTTGGCATTAAAGTACAGGATGTTGCAAAGTTTGTCCTAAACATAATTCTTGATGTGGTCGGTGTGTTTGTCATTAAAATACAGGTTGTTGCAAAGTCACCGTGGTCCTAAACATAATTTCTGATGAGATGTGTTTGGCTTTAAATACAGGATGTTGCAAAGTCTGTCCTAAAGATAGTTTGTGCTCCAGCTTCGGCGTGTACCCGGGCGGGGCGCTGTCGGTGGGCGTGTTGGCGGCGGGGGGCCGCGCCGAGGCCGCGCTGCCGCTCGCCGCCGCGGGGCCCGTGCAGCGCATGGAGCCCCTCAACAACCTGCAGGTATGCCGCCGGTGAATTGGCGGGCATGGGGAGAAAGAAAGAAATATCTATTTGTTACATAGCAAACAAAATATCACATGAAAAATAAAAAGGGAACATGGAAGAGTCTGCCCTCGTAGAACAGAGAATCGGTTTAAAAGAAATTATATCATTTTGGAAACATTGTTGTTGGTTATACATATAGTTGAATAATTAGAAAATCTGTTTTATGTATTATTGTAACTACTGTTTTATGTCGTAATAAATTAAAAAAAAGAACGCTAAGTAGATCAGAGACCGTGACAATATACAATATGTATATTAATGTACTTTTATTTCGCAAATCACATAGATGCGGTGTATGCATAATGATGTCATGTCTTTAGTCGATTGTCAGCTTTTTGCTCGAACCTGCCATGCTTACAAAAATCTGCAACTGTATAAATAAAACAATAATATCGTGCTAAATCATGTGACGACCGCCTAAGGCATTTACATTTAAGCAGGCATGTGCATTTAAGCGTTTGTAACTATCGATTTTTTTATTTTATTAGGGGTAAGTTTGATACTATAAGATCTAGACTATGAAATGCATATGCGTTATTGACGTCTCTTAACAGAACGATGTAACTGTGTACAATGTGTACACACTCAATTGCAGGTGGCGATCAAGAACAACGTGGACGTGTTCTACTTCGCGTGCCTCATCCCGGCGCACGTGCTGTTCGCCGAGGATGGCCAGCTCGACAAGCGCGTGTTCCTCACCACGTGGAAGGAGATCCCCGCCGCGAACGAGGTGCAGCACACGCTGTCCAACGTGGCGGGCACCGCGGACTCGGTCGCGCAGAAGATGACCCTGAACAACGTGTTCACGATAGCCAAGAGGAACGTCGAGGGCCAGGACATGCTGTACCAGTCGCTCAAGCTGATCAACAACATCTGGGTACTCTTGGAGCTGAAGCTGCAACCCGGGAATCCGGAGGCGACGCTCAGCCTCAAGTCGCGCACCGTGGAGGTCGCCACGTGCATATTCCAGGCGTACGAAGCAATAATCAAGTCGTAATCTCGCATATAACACGTATATGTTGTATATGTTGCACTAAGTTTATCGCGTTATCGAAGTATTATATAATAAGTAACAATAAAGACTATGACTATAAATTCCATTAGAGTATGAATGTTTATGAGATTTGTTTGTATCTCGTAGTCCGTGTTGTTCGTTGTGTATTCCTTTCGAGGATTATTTCGCTCACGCAGTTTATAAAATAAAATAAATATTATGTTATTAGATCTGATCTTTTTTTTGTTATCGACCTGACGGTCTACTGTTTAATATACTGTATATAATATTAAAATACTCACTACGTTTCGTCTGGTGAGAGGTAATCGAAGCCAAATTTATTATTAATATCATCATCGGCAATTATCACTTAACATGACGAACTACCATCTCGCTTGCCACCTTTTCACATAAAAAAACCATCCGCTCCCGCATACAGCAAAATTTTGCTGCAATGTTGCAGGTAATGATTGAAATGTAGTACATTGTGGTACAATATTACCACAAACAGTATCCTTTAAAACATAATCTCAATTCTTGTATATATATATATATATATATATATATATATATATATATATATATATACAGGATTATATCGATTATATGTATATATATATATATATATATAAAAGATTATATATTATATATATATAATCGGAATCTCGGAAACGGCTCCAGCGATTTTCATGAAATTTTGTGTGCGTAGATTCGGGGGCGAAAAATCGATCTAGCTAGGTTTCATTTTTAGAAAATGTCCTTTTATCCCTGTTTTCGGGAAATGAAAAATATCATTCGAATATGACGGTAAATTTCGCGGCAAAAGATAATGTTACAATACCTCGGTCGGTAATCGGGCGGCCCCATAAAAGACGGCCGTGGATCGTGTCTCGATCATTTACAAACTTTTTTTCGATTTCAGATCATTGCTTTCTTTATTTTTTGTTGATCCAAATGATTTTGTTATTTTTTTCCTTTTTTTTTTAAAGTTGTTTCTTTTGTGAAAAACAACACTTCATATATTCTTATTATTAGGTTGGTAAGATCGAAAAATATTATGCATATTTCATTACTCAGTAATTTGTATCTGAATGTCATTTCCAAAATACACGATTTACAAAAAAAAAAAACAAACCGTTCCTCCAGGTACTTAATTGTTATTTTAGCAAATGTAAGTAAGCAAATACACTGCTTTGAACTGTCGGAGAAACTGAAAAATGGAATGTTGCGAAAGACGATACATACACTCGTGCGATATTGGACTGGCGTACACGCCAGGATGCGCCGATTCAAAGAGAAGACAAAGAGCATACGTAGGAGCTAAAGGGGAAGAGACGCAACAAAGAATATTACTGCGTCAAACGCTTATTTCTGGCAGTTCGGGAGACGAAGACTTTAACCAGGTTCAAGGCTTCGCGGTTACACGAATGTGCAGGTCCGTCCGGGTAAGTACCACGACCTCATAGAAGACGTCGTCTGGTGAGTAAGGTATCACTTTACATCCAAAATGGCGATTTCTTCGTCATACTAGATAGAATCTGACCGAGTGAACAATATTGAAAACAAGTTACGGACTGAGTTATAAAGATAGAGAAGACATATCAATGACAGATTTCATAATATTTCCAAATAAGAATGTACAGCAAGGACAATGGAGGTAGGTATAAAAAAAATTAACTCAACATAAAGGATTTTACTCCGGTATTCTTTTATCCGGTATGTTTTACAAACATAACTTTCGCGTAGACAAAGACCCAGATGCGAAACAATTATCGGTGGGTCACATAGAAATCGAATCTACGACCCCCGACGCCGAGGCCAATACCGTGGCAACTGCGCCACGGAGTCCTCTGGTATTATTGCAGCATTTGTTTGAACTCTGTACTTTTTTTACAAAACAATCAATTGAATTATCTATAAACTACAGCAGCGTTTTTCTCTTCATACATGCAAAAGAAATACTTAAGTTTAAATATATTTTAACGTTTTTAATGGACTTCTAGCACCGGTTTATTAAATCAATGAATAATCTGAAAAAATATTAATACAATTGGCAAATTTTCTTTCAACCACTTACATGATTCACATGTGCCAACCTCGGTATGTGCGCCCCACTTAACAATTTCATTTATTCTGTTTTTTAGTATTTGTTCTCATAGCGGCAACATACAGGCTGGCTTTTCTAAAGGTGCCCAAATTCACACAGGAGGTTCAGACTCGGTAGTATAATCGTTTATTGAAACAAAAACGTTTTTTCAAAAAAATTACCTTCCATTCCCTAAAAAACAGAACTTGTTGACAATGCCATTCATAAATGCGCCGAATACTTTTGAAACGAACTTGTGTGTGTGTTAGTTATGAATGACCGCGCGTAAAATAAACGAGTTGCCCAGTTCAAATGAATGTATTTAATTAATAACGAGTGATTTTAAATATTTATCATATTTTATATAACATTATTTATGTCTAGAATTTAATAAAAAAATGGATTCACTTAGAAAAGCCTCCCTGTATATAAAGATTTATTTTCTGAAAAAAATTTTACAGAAGATTCTGTAAAAAATTTTTCAAAACTTGTAAAAACGTGGAAAGAAATTACACAGAAACGTTCTTAAAATACAGCATTATGTTATACAAATAAAAAAATAATTCATCTATACTCCATTCCAGGTATGTTTGGTAATAAAAATTAAACGACGCATTTAAACTTAGCCTTCGCTGTAATCGTAACATTAACAATGTCTGTAATGTGAACTAAGTAACACAGAGTAATGTGAATATTCAATTTATAAATTAATTTCATAAAGTAGACAAACGAAATTTGAATAAACATTTCATATATTTATATATTCCACTTATTTACAGAATATGGTTTGGACCACTTTGTAATTATTTACCTCTGTATTATATAATAGTAAATCATAAAATATTTCCAAAAACTATTTTCACATATATGTATGTATATATTTAATGTTATATAACATTTCCTATTTATATTAAAGCATTTAGAAAATACATTTGCCAATAGACAGGGTTACCACAGCAATCAGCAATCTAAATAGACTGAAAAATAATCTGAAGTAGTAGAGTGGCAAAAAAAGGAACAAAATTTTTTTTGTCAAGTTTAAATCATATTATTTTCAGTATTTTAAATATAAAAGTATTAATTTTAAATATTATCAATATGCATGCCACATTAAACTAATAAAGAAACGTATTAATATCAAATAATGCACAAAAATTATTAAAAGAAAGAAGACATTTTTGTGTCAACAGTACAAAGACTGTATAAAATAATAGGAAATAAAACTAGCTAAATAGCTGGTTACTTAGGCTAACATGCATTTTCTTTTAAATTTGCATTACCTTACATTGCATGAAACAAGTATTCTCTGAGGGCATCGCCATATTTTTGTACTGGCTATGTACACGCATTATATAATATACATAAGAAACTTTGCTATAATTCAACTTCTTATAACATTAATTGTTTCATGATACATTACCGCGACAAAGAAACGGCGACATACGCATTCATAACAATGGCTCAATCGATTTTCACGAGGAACTCCTCGATCTCGAGCTTCTGTCGCATTATCGCGGAGAGTACCACCTCAGTGCTGCAGACTACGTTCAGGGTCTTCTCCGACTGGAGCAGATAGTAGACCAGGTGAAGGTCGTTGGGCACGGTGAGCACCAGGTAGCTGTACGGCCGCTGCGCGTGCATCTCCTGTATGGAGACGTACGAGCGGCGGTTCTTCTCCACTTTGCCGCCACACAGCTCGATCATCTCCGTGAGGGCGGCGCGGCCGGGCTTGACGCACGGCGTGAGGAAGAAGGTGACACCCTCGAAGAGCTTCTTCCTCTGCTCGCCGCACAGCAGCACTTCGGAGACGTCGCATTTGAACGTGCCGTTGAACGTCTCGTCGCGGAGGCCGAACTTCGCTTCGTCCGCGAACTTGTTCAGCCGCTGGCTCTCCAGTACCCACTCGGGCGAGAGGAGGTGCTTGACGGTGATGAGGCAGCTGACCAGCTTGCACGTGCGCACGAGCTTCTCCATTATCAGGTGGGTCGCCTCCGCCGCCGATGTCACCACGAGACCGCCGAGTTGCCTGTAGACAATGATGTTTTCTCTTCAATATATCGTAGGCGATGTTAATATTTTTATACATATCGATATACCGATATATTTCTTCACTTTCGACTTCCCTAGATGTATAAATAAAGATGACACTTGTCCATACTGCGCGGCGTTTAAAAATCATTCCCCTTTACATTATAAGTGACAGATGATATGGAATGTACGATGCAGAATCTTCGTTCTCCTTATTAATTACCACTGAAGCTTTGTAAAAACCAACAGTTTAAGTAGATGGTAGATGCCTTGAAAGGAATGTCTCGTGTTTAGCCAAAGTTCGGCCTTCTCGAGGCCTTTGAGCCTAGTCACTCTATGGAGCGTACGCCAAAGCACTCTAAGAGCTTGTCAAAATCATGTCCATTGTATATGAGCCCCACTTAAATGTTTTATTAATTCTGTTATTTTAGTATTTGTTGTTATAGCGGTATGTATCTCGTGAACCGTCAACTAGCACGGTTCACGAGATACAGCCTGGTGACAGACTGACGGACACACAGACAGCGGAGTCTTAGTAATAGGGTCCTGTTTTATGTCCGTCCCTTCGGGTACGGAAACCTTAAAAAACCTACCGGACGACGGCGGCGAGGCGCGGCTGGTCTTGCGGCGGCACGGCCGAGAAGAGCACGCGCGGCGCCAGGTGCAGCGGCGGCGGCTGAGGGGGGGGCACGCCGGGCGCCCCCGCCCCTGCCCCCTGCCCCGCCCCCGCCCCCTCGGGCGCCTCAAGCCTCGGCCGCTTGGCGCGCCGCCCGCCCCCCGCCGCCGCGGCGCCCCGCTTCGCTCGCTCGTGCGACTCCTGCGTTATGTTGATCGGCATCTTCCACGCGTCTGCAACATTGATTACGGTTCGTTATGCGGCAGCCCGATATATCATATTTGATTATGTAAGAAGGTGGCATGCGAGCGTTTCGCCTGCTGTTAAGTGGTCACCGCCGCCCATTGACATTTGCAACACCTGTATGGTTGCAGATACATTGACACCTTTTAGTGAAGTGGGCCCCGGCTACCTCACTCACGAGACGAAATGCAGAAGTGTAACCTGTGTAGCACTTCAAATAAATATTAATTGACACATGATACAGCTACTATTTTGACAAAAAATTACTATATTGTTAAAATTACAGGATGAAATATCTGTCCGCTTGTTCTTAGAATTTATAAAACTTGAATTCTTTTAAAAACTGACATGTACAGCTAAACTGATGTGTTTATACAATTTATATTTAAAAATTAATTAAAACAATACTATATTCGATAAATAAAACAAATATAATTTATTAAGTTTTTAAAACTACACATATACATAAAAACAAAAAGAAACTTACTCATCAAATGTGACACAAGATTGTAGTCAATTCGAAACGGGCTGGCCAAGTTAAACTGTTGATACTTGGCATTCTCAATCTGTGGAAAGGATATAATACTGAGTGAATAAGAAGTCACGAAGCTATGCAACTGACGGGCGTTCGTTGAATATGGGGACCGGGCATGAGTAGGTAAGCGGGGCGGGGCACCTGTGAGAGGGCGCTCATGTTGCCCAGCAGCAGGTCGGTGACCCAGGCGGCGCTGACCACGGGCACGCCCCAGTCGCGCGCCCGCCGGTACTTGGCGCCCTCCGCGCGCTTGCACACCAGCACCGTGTTGTCGCGCGACATGTACGGCGTCAGCTGCGGACGGATTTATATTTTTTACTGCAGGAAGGACCACCGAGACCCGGGAGATCTGTTGCGGTCTCCCCTCCGAAAATATGGGCAATAACTGTAGGGATAAAATTGTATTTATTTATAATAGTTGGATAGGATTGCAAGAGACGGACTGTGTATTATGGACGTTTGGCATTTTGTAAATTACACGAGGGCGAAAGGGCACATCCGAAACTGTAACAGATATAGTTGTCAGTTGTGGGAATCGATTCCACGACCTCCAGCACCAGTGCCGGGGGTCGCGGAATAATAATTACAGTTAATACTAACAAAGAGCTCGTGTTAGCGACCATATCCAAATCTAGATTACAGTGTTTTCCCAGCCCTGACTGGATCAGTCTTTCAGTCAAAGCGTTGGACAGGGAATCCCTGTTTAATCGCTCCATAAAACTACGAATACTGTTGTTGTTACGTACACGACTTCAGAATAGAAATTTGCAGTGAGCGATCAGAGAGAGCGAGCCAGAAGGTTGAAGGGAATGAATAAGCGGAGCGATATATATGTGGGAGCGAATGAGAGCGAGACAAAAGTTTGCAGTAAACAGGTAGCGGGAGATAGACATACGTGGGAGCGAGACAAAAGCTTGGAGTCAGCGGGAGCGAATGGAAAGTGGGAGAGAAACGGTAGATGAAGCGGGACAAAAGTTCGAAGTGAGCGGGTACCGGGAGAGAGATAGACGTGAGATCGAGACATGAGTTTGGAATGAACGGGTAGCAGGAACAAAATAAACGTGGGAGCGAGACAAAAAATTGGACTGAGCGGATAGCGGGAGCGAAACGGTTGTGTAATCGAGACAGAGGTTCGGAGTGAGCGGGAGCAAGATGGACATGGGATCGAGACAGGAGTTTGGAGTGAACGACAGCGGGAACAAGATAGACATGGGAACGAGACAGAGATTCGCAGTGAGTGGGTAGCGGGAGCGAAACGAAAGTGGGAGCGAGACAGAGGTTCGGAGGTCGCGGGTAGCGGGAGCGAAACGAAAGTGGGAGAGAGGCAGAGGTTCGGAGTGAGAGGGTAGCGGGAGCGAAACGAAAGTGGGAGCGAGACAGAGGTTCGGAGGTCGCGGGTAGCGGGAGAGAGGCAGAGGTTAGGAGAGGCACCTTGGCGCCGACGAGGTCGAGGCAGCAGGCGAGCCGGCGCCGCTCGTCGCGCCGCCAGCCGGAGAGCGCGGCGCGGTGGTGGCGCGCGGGGCGGTCGCGCGGCGCGTGCATGGCGGGCAGGTGCAGCGCCTGCCACGGCGGCGCCACGCCGCGCCGCTCCATCGCGTCCGACAGCCAGTACGCGGTCACGCAGCGCTTCGCGTCGCGCAGCGCCTGAACACGCGGACGTACTCTTTAAGTACCACACCGTGAGCCGCGATAGCGCCTTTAGTTCGATATACTCGAGCACCAATGATACTATTAATTTTAAATGCTGACTTATTGCTCTGCTATAATGGAGAACATGATGAGGAAACCTGCGTATTTTCCTAATAATGCTCAGTAGTATGGCATGTATAGGATGTTACTTTACTAATATAAACATATTAAGATTATCACGTTGTTGCAATAATACGTTGTTATTAATTAATAAATATGATGTATAATAACAACGCACTTTGGTACAAGTATTGTGTGAATCCGCGACGAGTGTTTAACGGATGAAATACGATTCTCGGCTGTCCCACTTAGCAATGACGCAACGTGTTTAAAATGAATCGAAAAAGTGCTTTATATTTTTGCAACAGGAAACAATACCCACTAATCAGATAAGTTTGTCCTTTTTGACTTTCTATACATGAAGATACCATTACCATTACATATGGCTGTCCTAATATCTTCTGTACCCTGTGTCCTAATACTTCTACCCAACAATGATATACCTTATAGATATAATTCGTTAACGCCTCACCTGCATGACGACGCCGTGACGCTGCGTTTCGCACAGTACGTGGGTGACGCGGGCGCAGTAGCTGGGCTCCACTTCGCCACCGCGCCTCTGGATCGCCTCCGTCCACTTCGCGACCCGCTCCGCCCCGAACGACTGCTGATACTCCACCTAGGAATTGATCATTGTCAACTAAATACGTCAATGTCTAGAGCTGAGCTGTAAATAGTAGCGGGCAGACTTAAAACTAGAATTGAGTCTCTGATAGGTAGCATTCTTGCTACCGGTCAGAGGGGTATTGTGGAAGAGACCTTAAAGAAGAATGGCGTAAAGTAGTATTGATACTTTTTTTTATATTACTTCTTAACTGAACCGCTTACTCGTTGTCAATTTTCTCTTATAGAAGACTCTAGATGAAACAAAATTAAACGTTAGTTTAGTTTTATCCAATCCATATGGTGAAATTTTTCGCGTAATCCGTAAATGAAGTGTCTATGGTGATGCTCGGATTTGTATGCTCCACGCGCGTCAGCCAACGTGATTTTTGTGGAAGAAGTTAGGTTAGTATGTGCCAGCGACTACTACGACCTAGAAGATCTATTGTAGTAGGGCCACGCAAGTCTTTGCTGTTAGACAAATGGGCAGGTCCGTCCGGGGAAGTACCAAGACTTTTTTTTTTTTTTTTACCGAAAAGCCCGGCGTGAAGTGGAGGTGTTATACTTCTGCGTTTCGTCTGGCGAGCGAGGTAATCGGAGCCCATTTTATTCAAAGGTGGCAAAGCATCTGTAAGTAGTGTAAAGTAATGTTAGAAACGCCCATGGGCGACGGTTATCACTTAACATCAGGAGAAACGCAAGCTCGCTTGCCACCTGGTCTCATAAATAAAAAAAGCCTCAGCAGGTCAGGAAAAGTCTCACAATGTGGAAGACGCAGCCCAGCAGGAAGAGGTCCGGCGGCAGCTTGAGGTTGGGGTTGTGGCCGTAGAACTGGGCGCGCGGCGGCACCGCCCTCACGCCGCCCGCCGCGCCCACGCCCACGCCGCCAGCCACGCCCACGCCCACGCTGTTCGCGTACACCTTGTTGCCCACACCCACGCCCACGCCCGGCCCGCCGGCCTGTGCGTAAGAATATATTAACACTGGCCGTCTATATAAAAAGATCTATCTATTATATTCTTTTACTTGTCGAGTTTAACGATAGTTGAATGTTACTAGACGTAATTGATTCCAAAGTGAAAAAATTGAAGAGATTACTAATTAAGGATTAATTTCTTGGATCATAATTATGATTTATGTAGCCCTTATACAGCGTGTTTTACCATCGCGACAATAAATGAACATATATATAGAGGATAACTTTTTAAAATTGTATTAAAGATTTACATTCTTTAAACATCAATATTTACCGAGTTATCAAATTTTCCAAAACAAAAAATTCTAGAACACCTTACGTATAAAACTTTAATGTAAAGTTCATTTCTAAAGGTCACAAAGCATATGAATGGGTTGAACGAATTTAAAAGAGACAAAACATACTGTTAGAAGGAGAGCGTTGTAATGCGACGCCGTGGCAACGAATGAAAAAGTCTCTGAATGTATGAATCAGTCATTTGTAGTTGTATAGGATGTTACAAATTTTGTTTCTTTTTTACTTAATTAGTTTGAAAAATATTTTTGTTAATTATGGATTTTTTTAACATTAATATTTTTTTATGATTATTGGCAAGTAGCGTTAGACGTGTGTTCATTTATTGTCGCGGTGGTAAAGACACGCTGTATAGGGTAGTAAGTCCCAACGAACACTACAATATAGAAGGTCTTTATTAGTCTTCCCTTCGCAGCTTCGAAGCAGTTAACCTCAAGACCAACAACCGTAGCAATGATTGGGATGAGTCAGGGCTTCCTCGGTTACCAACCTGGGTTTTCCCGTGGACCATCGTTAGATTAAATGAGTGAGTTGCAGTTTCATACCTTTACTGCCCATCGTCAGTTTAGTCCTACAGACGTCTTTGATCAAAAGATCACTTGCAGTTTGTTAGTTATAGTATCCGGTAGTAACTTTGCTGCTTACGGGCGCGGGCACCTGGTGCGGGTGGTGGGCGGGGCCGAGCAGTAGCCTGGTCGGCGCCCGCACCCCGCCGGCGGCCGCGTGCGCCGCCGTCATCAGCCTGTCGCGAAATCAACCTTATTACATTTGCAATACGAGCTCTTTTCCAATGAAGCCCCGACCGGAAGACTACGAAATGAATTGTAGTGGATTTGTGTATTGGCGAGCGAAATTCAACCTTGCTATCGTACGATCACCGAGTTCCTTTTACACTGGAAGACACTATTCTAAGGAGTTTTAAGTAAAAGCGAGAAAGCGAAGAAAGCGTTTAAGTGAGAGCTAAATTCATATCTATTTTCTTTCATCGGATCGGATGGTTAAAGTTAAATGGTTTTCTTGTTAAATGATTACACGGCTACTTCATCATAACAATAATTGAATAACCAAAGGACAAACCTTGTACATCCCCAAACAATTACAATTGTATAGCGGCGCAGAGAATGTTCCCAGTGCGGGAGTTCCCTACTGAACAGCCTTACACCCTCTGTGCAGAGGCCTTTGGCCAGTAGTGGGACATTTATATGCTGTAATTTTACTTTAATTCTAGGCCCCTTTTCAAATCAATATAGCACTCTGTCACCGAAAAGCGTTAAATAGAAGGGGATTATTTTCGAGGAAAACATAATGGCGATTTCTGTAAAGTTTTAGGGTAATCGCAGGGGCCTATAATGCCCAGTTCTGACCTTAGGGTCCCGGCAGCCGAAGGCTCGTGGTCCGGCGGGGCTGCGCCGCCTTGAAGGCGGATGCTCAGCATGTTCGCGAGCGCAGTCTTCGTCTTCGGGTTCACCAGCAGCGTGTTCCCGGCGGCGCCTGGTCAAAGGGCGACGGTTAAAAGAAAACCAACCACTTGTGAAACATTTTTTACGTGATAAGGTGGCAAGCGAGCCGGCGGTTTAGCTGACGTTGAATGATAACCGCCACCCATGCAACATTTGCAACACCCGTAGGTGACAAGCGAGCAGGCGGTTCAGCCTGATGGTAAGTTGCAGCCGCCGCCCATGGATATTTGCAACACCAGTTGGTCGTGATACTTAGTCGAACGGTGCTGCCCACACGTGAAACAGCCGAGGCTGTCGCGTGACCCTACCACATTAAATTTTTTAGTAAAAAAGACGATAAGTTTTCCACCGCTGCGGGAATAGAACCCACGTCCTCCGGATTCGAGCCCAGACACTTAAAGCACTTAGCCGTTTAGCCCGCGGAGGCGAAAAACTTTTAGGCTATATTTCTTCAAAACTTAACAGATGACGAATTAAAGTATAACTACAGGAAGTGGGTGAGAGATTTAGAAATTTACCTTGTTGCTGGTCCGATGCGGGGCTGATTAGCGCGCCATCTACCGGTTGCTCGGTCAACGTGGCCGCGCCCACAACGTGCTGCGCTACGCCGGGAACCACCTGAGCCGTTAGAAGAAAACGGTGAAATAAAACCTTCCCATTGAACATTTCACGCCGCGGCATCTAATGTAGTGACAACAAATTACGCGTGCAGAATCGCACATGTGATTAAGTATTGAAACTTTTCAAAAAAACCTAAATAATAACATAACATAATGATAGAATATATTATAAAGACAAAAATTATACAAAAATATATACACTTCTCGTTCGTCTATCGAATCGCTACTTAAGAGGTTTCAAAAAAGAAAACATTTGTTTAAATCTTGTAAGGAACCCCTCTCGTAAAGCCATTTTAACTGCAATTTCATAGTAACCAAAAATCCATTCCTACGTGTTTTACCCCGGCCTAGCACACTCACTTTACACCAGTCTTCTGTGAGGTTGTGGTACTTACCCGGATGGACCTGCCCAATCCTTCAATAGCGAAAACTTTTTCGTGACCCTGCCAATTTGAGATCTCGAATAATATAAGCCAACCATGTCAATGGCAGCGACAATCGACAAGCTATCTATTTCAGTAGTAAGCCACATTTAGTCAGAAGGACTCGGTGTTCCTATGCTGTCATTTCTCTGGAAGCGTCGTTTCTATTTCCGGAGACCTGCTTGACGGCGGCGTGGTGGTGCGCCACGTGCTCTCTCTGCGCCTGCAGCTGCTGCAAGCGCTGGTACTGCTGCTGCCTCTGCAACTGCTGCAGCTGGTTCTCTACAGCTGCACCGCCGCTGCCGCCGGCACCCACCGGGCTCGCCACCGGGGCCCCGCCTACTGCAAGCGAATTTGAACTTAAAGACACACGTATTGCGGGTAATTTTTCAAATTCAAATATTTTTATTCAACATACACGCTTTAAACTCACTTATGTCCGGTTCCTATATTCAACGAACGGCCGTTAGTTACATAGCTCCGTAACTTTCATAACGACTTGTAGATTAAAGGAACGCTAGTAACTCACTTTCCGTAGGTAATGCAACGGCTCGTTTTGTTAATATAGGAATCGGGCGTACACGCCTTTTCGTTATGAAAGTTACGAAGCTATGTAACTAACGGCCGTTCGTTGATTATAGGAACCGGGCAATACTGAAGAAATGCCACTGACCTGAGAAGAACCGGCAAAAGAAACTCACCGGGCCGTTTTTTTACCATTTTTTGACCGTGTAAACGTTGTTAGTGAGCCTGGAGCGATTAATTAATTACCAGACTGTGTTATGATAGAAATAATCAATAATATTATAATAGTCTTTAACACACAAAGAAACAATTTCTGTAAATTTTGCTATTGATACATTTTGAACTTTTTCTGGGATATTGTTGTTAAAATGTATACATTGTCCCATAAAAAAAGATGTCCCATAAGAAGAAAGAAAGATCTTTTTAAAATAAATCTTAGTGATTCTTTGAATAACGTGTGAAATTGGCCGCACAAGATTTGTATGATTTTTACGAACTGTTGTCAGGTATGAAGCGATTCGGACTGCAGCGTAAACTAGAAGACAATACATAGAGCGTTGCCATTTCACCATAGAACACTTGTATGAATACAGTCCTCTAATACCTATGACTGTATATATAACGCGAACTTTCAAGCCAAATTTAATATATTTTAAATACGCTTTTTTACTCTTTTGTCAAACTATGTTAAAAATAAAAACTGTCCCGCCGAGTTTCTTTCACCGGTTCTTCTCAGGTCAGTGGCATTTTTTCCGAACCGGTAGTAGTGTTTTTTGACAATCAATAATTAAGTGTGGTGCTTCGATTATTGAATATATTTATTTGAATTAATAGCATCGGATCCGGGGTTACCTGTCGAAGAAACTAAACAGCGATGCGAACTGTGATGCTCGTTGATGGGTAAGTACTCAAAATAAACCAATCCATTCGTGCAATAATACTGACATTTTTGAACACAGAGATAATGAACTCTTACATTAATTTATTGGGGTAGTACCAGATTAGGACAGTCTTTAAGCTCAATAACAATGCCAATGCGATTGTTATTTGCAACTGTTCATGGGCGGCGGTTGTCGCTTAACATCAGGTCAGGTGAGCTGTCGTTTGTCAATTTCTCACATAAAAAAATGTAGTTAATAAATCCCTTGACATTAATTGTTGTGTTTACCGTAGAGAAAAAATATCATCCTAAAGTAAAAAATATATTTTAACCTCTCGTGAACTATACTACTATACTATAGTGGTATTAAAAAGTATATTTATTTATTTATTATACGCACAAAAATGATTTGCTCAGTTTACTGATTTATCGGCACAATAATTCAAAGCTTTAGAGAAAATCAAGGCAATTGAAATAAGGTAAGTTAACTTAGGGAAGTTCAACGTCTAATGTTTTTGATAACATTATTATTTATACAACTGCATTATTTATTATTTTTTATTTGAAACATTCATATTATAAATATTTTTAGAAATAGATTTCGTAAAGTTTTCTCAATAAGTATGACAAGAAAAAAACTACTGAGCGATGTTGATGACACATAATGTATGTATGCATGACGCCATTTAAAATTGAAAAAACAATTCATTCAAGGTGTTACCATTAATTGGCTCACGGTCCGGTTGATTCGACTCCATGCCTTCAGGACACCAATTATACCCTAATGGACTAGCGTCGCGCGTGTGTCATAACCGAACCATCAGGGCAGTATTCCAGAATGCTCTATATGGCACTTGTCGCGGCCCGCAAGTCAGGAAACACTGATTTATCCGACGGTGATTTAGAACGGGAACGAACGGCTTTGAATTTATAATGTCCGGATCAAGCGTCGACGCATAACTATGTATGAAGCGCGATCTCAATACCAAAACCGCCTAAGTAGGACATTCTTCGGGGTACGGTAACCGTTTCTTGGCGTATAATTCACGCGCTGCTCGTGTCTGGATCTCAACGGTTGAACAAACTTGTGCGCTGGGATTTCGAGCGCATACCCGATCGTGGCGACATCTATAATTCACATCGGTGTTCTATTAAACATCAAGGGCTATCATAGCCTCGCGTTTTTTTTTTCTTCATAAAATGTATTATTTGTCTTAAAACGTCTCGCGGTCGACTTGTCGCAGATGTGGTCAAAGAACCGGAATGTGTTAAATAGGGTCCCAATGTTTAGGGTCGTAATAACTGTATTAATATGTTTGCGACCGACCTGGTCGGCATACCCGGTAATGTGAAAGGTACTCGCTAAGGTATTAGCCGACTGCGACGCAAAGGTCGATAATGTGTTCATAAAACTTACGCATGTAGTGTACATTTTTTCGGTGGTACGGCCGCGCAGCAGCCTCGGCTGTTGCAATGGGCAGGCCCGTCCGGGTAAGTACCACGACCTCACAGAAGACCAGCGAAAAGTGAAAGTATGACAAATACTTTAGCGTTTCGTCTGGTGAGTGAGGTAGCCGGAGCCCAATTTTCAAAAGGTTGTCAACGCATCTGTAACCCTCGGGTGTGGCAGATGTCCATGGGCAGCGGTATTCACTTAACATCAGGTGAACCGTCTGCTCGTTTGACAACTTTTCACATAAAAAAAACATATCAAACGCGTGGACCGATGTCTTCAGTCTTTAATGTCACTGTCTTTAGTGACAGTATGGCGTGTACTTATTCAATATGGCAAAAAAAATATTATTGTGATGAAAAGGTTACAACAGCAAATAGAAAACTGTTGTAAAACACTATATTATGTGTCATTCAAACAATTTTAGCAATTACGTCGTTGACAACTGTTACTAAACATACCTAGAAATAAAAAACAAAAAAAACTCGAAAAGAAAGAAGAATATTAGTAACAACTATTGCGATGGTTACCCTATTGCATTTTTACTCGTATTGAAATATTTATCCTATGCCGCGTAGAGGCGTTTTACATTCACAAGTGAATATTTTACTACGGACTGGAAAATACTAGACTACTACAATACTATACTTAGTAAGTAAATTCTACCTGACGGTAATAGGTCGTTTTGGCGTTGTTTTGTGTGAAAAGTTGACAAGCGAGCAGACGGTTCTGCTAATGTTAAGTGAATATCGCCGCCGATCGACATCTGCTACAGCCGAGGGTTGCAGATGCGTTGACAACCTTTTGAAAATTGGACTCCGGACACCTCACTCACCAGACGAAACGCGAAAGTATTACACTTCCACTTTACGCCGGTCTTCTGCGAGATCGTGGTATTTACCCGGACGAATCTTTAATGAAATTTTACAACGATATAGCTTGTACATCTTAATAACACATAGGCTATAATTTATAAAGATTTGTGTGAATTGTCCAACATGTAGATAGGAAAAAATTCAGCCATCTGCGAGATATTCTGATGAACAATAAAAAAACTCATGTTAAATCCCTTTCGCCGCGCGGGTGAAGCAGTGGTTAACGGCTAATATTATGATGAGATTGAACTTGTCGAAGTCAAATTTGATTAATTTAGTGCGACCGTATGTGGAAACTTTTGAGAGATAATATTATAAACTTTTAATTTCCAACGTTTCTCTTGTATATTCGAACGTAACCCCTTTAAAGTAAAGACACCGCCATCTTGAAAAATGCCCAATAGTCGGTGTCTTCTCGGGCGACGGGGTCATTGACCGCGCAGGCAAAAACATTGGTCGCACGATAGCGGACTAGAAACTTTTCCCCCATTATGCCTTTCTGTTTGGCAGTCACTATCCTTACCATCCTTACTAATATTATAAAGGCGAATGTTTGTATATTGTATGGATGTATGCTTGTTAGTCTTTCACACAAAAACTACCAAATAGATTTTAATAAAACTACAATAATATAGCTTATACATCAAAATAACACATAGGCTATAATATATAAAGATATTGTGTGAATTGTACAAAATAAAGGTGTCTAGTACCTAAGTAGTGTCTAATAAGAACCTCATTGTTAATTCCCTTTGGCCGCGCGGGTGAGGCGGATAACAGCTAGTCCTGTGTAAATCACCGTTGAGAAGATCAACGTGTAGTTATACATAAATGGTTCTTTTTCAGTAACATCGTCCAAGCAATGTTGTCCTTACCGGGCGACTGTGGGGGCTGTACTGGCGCCGGGGCGGGAATGGTGGACGCACGAGCTCCTTGCTGCTGCAGCCATTGCACCTTCAATCACAAAGCGGTAAGTTTAACTGTGGTAGCGTCACCCAACAGTATTCGAGTATTATAACAACAAATAATTAAAAAAAACAGAATAAAAAGTATTTAAGTGGGGCTCCCATACAACAGATATTTTTTGTCTTTTTTTTAAGTTAATGGTACGGAACCCTTCGTGCGCGAGTCCGAATTACACTTGGCCGGTTTTCAAGAAATATATAGGCATTACTCTTTAAACAATGCAATATAAATGAGAAAAAGTTGATACTAAAAATAAACTTAATTTATAATAGCACAAAATATTAAATTATATTCTTATGAATGATTTTTATGATAATATAATATGAGTTATAGTAAGGTCGTTGCAATTATCCGTCTCGATCTAATATGCTATTAGGATAGCGTGACGGCTTTAATTTTATCTCTCTCTTCGCCTGTATACTTGTGAGTGTTAGTGGTGGATGTTGGCGTATGACATGGACAAGAGTGTGGATTCTCACACTAAACGGGAAAGATGGAAAGTATGAGGCCCACCGAGAGTATGTTATCAAAAACGTTGGAAGAAAATTTTACTTTTGCGCCAGTTTGTATTGTTGTAAATAAAATTAAAACATGACCAATAAATTTAATCTTGGGGTCAGCGATCGCGTTTACGTTATAAAACGAGATGTTACTATTAAATGCGGGTAGTCGAATATTATGTTTACGTGAACGTTCAGTTTTGTTTCGCATCCATGTCTAATTATAAAATTTACGAATTTTATAATTAGACATGGATGCGAAACAACTACTTTATACAGATTGGCAACGTGGTATTAAATAAATTGTTTTTGTTTATAATACATTTTCAATGAGTTTTCGACATCGAAGGAAAATATTGTGACCCGCCAATTTCCAAAAAAATCGCGGCTGTGGAACACATGGAATGTTCAGAAAGTATAAGGATTTTTTTTAAAATTAAGGAATGATTCATTTTTGTTATGCATAATTTATCATACTTGGTTTTATAAAAATAATATTTCAAAATCTAAGAATGTACGTGTATACAACCCTCTTAGGATAATAAAAAAAAGCCAAGAGATATTTTGACATCTCATATTGCTAGGAAAATACATTCCCGTCGACGATGGTGGGGCCACGCAGCAGCCTCGTGGGCAAGCTCGTCCGGGTAAGTATCACGAGCTCACAGAAGACCGGCGTTAAGTGGAAGTATAATACTTTCGCGTTGCGTCTGGTGAGTGAGGTGGCCGGAGCCCAATTTTCAAAAGGTTGTCAACGCATCTGGAACCCTCGGGTGTAGCAGATGTCCATGAGCAGTGGTATTCACTTAACATCAAGTGAACCGTCTGCTCGCTTGGCAACTTTCCACATAAAAAAAAACATTAAAAAATTCCCGCCCACGTGAGAGCAATGGCTAATTAATGTTGCACATGGACTTTTAACTGTGGGGAGGGCCGCGCAATAGTCTTCGCTGTTGCACGAATGGCTCAGCTCTTTCAGGGTTCTATTTTAACCTACAACTTGCTAATGCTACTGCCTCACCTGATATAAGCTTAGACGGTAAACGACTAACTTAATAAGAACACTATTCACTATTGCTTTGAAGAGATTCGTATTACTACATTATTACTATTTTGTGGTGTGAAATTGGAATAGCCAGGGACGGATTTAGAGTCTGGCGGCCTCGGGGCTACAAAGGAGTGGAGGCGCACAAATTATTTTCTATTGATTTCTGTTAATATTTAATGTAATGATGTTAGTACAAAGTACTGTAAGTAAAGGTAAAACGCAAAAAAAATTGAAAAGGAAAGTTGTTTACGTTCATTACATTTTTTTCCGAAGTCTCCTTTATAGGGGGTCCCCTACAATGAACCCCCTTTTGTGGAGGCACGGGGCCTATAGCCCTGGTTGCCCTCCCCTAAATCCGGCCCTGGGAATAGCGTGTAAACGCAACATTTTTCTGCGGTCCAATAAACCCGTGCGGTGGAGCTAGACACAAATAGGCAGTTTGCCCTTTTCAACACTCGGAAGAGAACATAGGTGCTGTGAATTGTCGTCTCTTCTCTTACCTGTTGCTGTTGAGTGAGACCGCTAGGCAGCTGGCTCCTGATGAAGGTGACGCTTTGGGGGGCCGGCGAGGGCGGAGCACCCGCACCGGCGACTGCCCCCGGTTGCTGTAGATATCAGTGTTGCTTTTAAAATTCGCGGGTCACACTTGAGGTCCAACTCGGCACTTACCGTTCGAAACAGTGAAATAAATCGTAACATCTATTCATACATTCTACATCATGATTCATATTTTACTATTTAAACGATTACTTTCTTCGAATATTAAATCATTATTAAGGTTACTTATTAAGGTGGTTCGAGTGCTTTTCCTTATTTTTTCAATAATTATATTCATTATTGTTTAAGATGTTAAAAAATTATGTAACAATTATATTGGTTGTTATTAAAAACCAATTGCAACAACAAAATTAATAACTTTTGTAAATTCTGTAAAAGATAAGAAAATTAAATTCTTAAATGGTTTTTCACTGTTATAGTAATAAGTAAAGTATCGTTAAATGTTATTATATAAACTGTATTTATTACTATGTTTCTACTTTTCCTTTATAAATGACTGCAAGTCCATGTATGCATTAGGCTTTTATAACTACTATATTGCGTAGTTCAATTTTAAAGTTGAAATACCCAATACAGAGTAATTCCGTTGAACACTGTCTGTCTAGTTATGAGTCAAATAAATCATTACTAAGTAAATATACAACAATTCGTAAAGCTAATTTTCGTTTTTAGTGACTCTTTTTTGTAACCTAAAAAGTTTTGCGCCTTTTTGTTGGCACATCATATTATTTTTTCCCTTAATTTTAAATGTTTTAATGTGTAATACAGAAAAACTCGTCAAAATTAAAGTCAGCAAAAAATTTAAATTCACATTTATTTAACTTTCATTTGGAACAAAATCAATTATTACTTGTCGAATCGGGGCTGCTCGATTGTAGCTTTAATTTCTGAAGAAAAGAAAACACAAAATTTGTTAAAGTTGGGACGGTGCACAGTATGGCATTGGACAATCACAACATTGAATAGAATGTAACTTCAATTACTATCTATAGATATTTTTTTTTATGTGAAAAGTTTCCAAACGAGCAGACGGTTCACCTGATGGTAAGTGAATACCGCCGCCCATGGACATCTGCTACACCCGAGGGTTACAGATGCGTTGACAACCTTTTGAAAATTGGGCTCCGGCTACCTCACACACCAGACGATACGCGAAAGTATTTGTTATACTTCCACTTTACGCTGGTCTTCTGTGAGGTCGTGGTACTTACCCGGTCGGGCCCGCCCATTCGTACAGCAGCCGGGGCTGCTGCGTGGCCCTACCACCGTTGAGTTATGTGAGATTAATGACAGTCAGAAGATATTCGGAAAAATGGCCAAAACATTCAATAGTTTTGGCATTCCTTAATAATATAGTACTGTTGCTGTACTGTAGTACTACAATGTAAGGTCCACTGTAGTGCCTTGGTTTTTTAGCGTTCTATACCCAAAGGGTAAAACGAGACCCTATTACTAAGACTCCGCTATCTGTCTCTCTGTCTGTTCGTCTGTCTGTTCGTCTGTCTGTCTGTCTGTTCGTCTGTCTGTCTGTCTGTTCGTCTGTCTGTCTGTTCTGTCAGTCTGTCACCAGGCTGTATTTTATGAATTGTCATAGATAGTTGAAATATTCACAGTTCATGTATTTCTGTTGCCACTATAACAACAAATACGAAAAACCAGAATAAAAAAATATTTAAGAGGGGGTTTTTAAGATAATGAGTGAGTCGGAATGACATTCCGCCGGTTTTCAAGAAAGATAAAGGCATTACTCTTTTAACAATGCAATATAAATGAGAAAAAGTTGATAGTAAAACAATCATACTTACATTTTAATAGCACCAAATATTTATATATTGTATAAATATTATATGTATTATATTCTAATTAATGATTTTAAGATAATAGGAGTTATACAAATAAATATGAGTTATATAAATTATTTTACCATTACAGGTTGTTTGTAACGTCCCAACAAATAATTGCTATTTTTTAAACATAATTATAATGAATATGGTAGACATTTATACATTTTCCAAGTCAATTTTAAGATTTTAGTATTCACTTAAAATAGAATTAACCTATTAACGAACAATACACCACTTCTTTATAAGCTATCAATTCTCAACTGTTTCAAAATTTTAATTACTAAAAATTAGAATAAAACTGCATACATTTTTCAAATTCTAAACTATGATCTGTTATCTAAAACAAGTTTTGTGTTACGAATGGTATAAATTAATCTAAATAATTTTAGTTAAAAAAATATATGCACATTGATATGATGGTAGTGTTATACTTCTGTTCCATCTTGTGAGTGAGGTAGCCAGGGCCCACTTTATTAAAAGGTGGCAACGCATCTCGTACTCAACGGGTTTTGTAAATGTCAATGTGGTGAACAGTAAGCTTGCTTGAAATCTTCTGTATAGCAAAAAAAAAAAAGTAACCTAGCTTTTACTTAAACACATGTGTTCACAGGAGAAACAGTTTCATTTCTTAATCAATTATGTAACTTTCTTCATTCTTAAATTGTTTGGGTTGAAATCACTATGGCAAGCATAATGCATCTTATGTTAAATTACGTCACTACTTATTTACTTTAATAACATATGATAAAAATATTTTCATTATGACATTTTTTGCAGAACAGGCAAAACACATTTATATGTATTTTATGCAATATTAATTAGTTCTCAATACTTGTATATGTTATGTTGGCACTTCTATTTATATAATTTATAGGTATTAGAAAAGACAGGTGTAAAATTCCCTAATGCTTTTTGTGTTTTACACATATTGATCATAACTTAAATAGATTAGTTTCATAATGATGATAGATACAATTTAACAACAAGATATTGCTAATTGAGGCAAATAAGTAGGGAAATACGAACTATAAAAATAGTTACCTGTTGTTGTGCTAGTGCCGCAGCCCTTTGTATGGACAATTGTCTCCTCTTCTGTAGTTGAGCGACAAACATAGCTCTCTGTTTCGGATCCATCTGTTGCAGTTGTGCGTGTGTTTGGGCATCCAAGTGGATCAGTTGCCTTCCACCTCCGCCAGCGGTCCATGACACCTTTAGTGTGAAAAGAAATAACTCATTATGTCAAACATTCATACTTGTTTCAATGTACGGTGGTAGGGCCACGCAGCAGCCTCGGCTATTGCACGAATGGGCAGGCCCGTCCGAGTAAATACCACGACCTCACAGAAGACCAGCGTAAAGTGGAAGTATGACAAATACTTTCGCGTTTCGACTGGTGAGTGAGGTAGCCGTAGCCCAATTTTCAAAAGGTTGTCAACGCATCTGGAACCCTCGGGTGTAGCAGATGTGCATGGGCGGCGGTATTCACTTAACATCAGGTGAACCGTCTGCTCGTTTGGCAACTTTTCACATAAAAAAAATGTGCTGCCAATTGTGATATCAGTGATTAGTCATCAATTTGTTAATCTTTTGGGGAAAAAACTGAGTATAGTAATATTACAACTAAAATTTTAATGCCAAACCTAGCTAGCAATAGCAAAACAAAAATGTTTAACAGGTTACTGAACCTTGGTATTCCAATAAAGCAAAATTTCTACTGTTATTCATTATTGCTCTTGCCAATAGATATATAATATAAACATCCCTTATGAGACAGTCTTTGACGTGGCATGGATGGGCAGTTCCATGGTGGGAAGTGCCACAACTGAGGTGCCTACTTTATTAAAAAGATGGATATCAGGTGAAACACGGGCTCGCTTTTACCTTCTCACATAAAAAGTACGAAATATTTAGATAAACGGCATTAAGATTTTCGTTGGTGTGGCAATCAGCCGTTTAGCTTAGTGGCTAAAGAGTCGGGCCGCGAATGCCCAAGACGTGGGTTCGATTCTCACGACAGCGAAAATCTTTTCGTACTTTTTCGACAAATTTTAATGTTTAATCTTAAGTGCAGAGATTAACACTATAAAAAATTTAAAGTTCTAGAAAGATATGTTTACTAATAACTACTAAGTTTTGTTTGATCCTATTTTTATAATTAGGTACTTCCTACTTAAATATTAAATCTAACTATCCCACAGTTGTTTGCAATATCAATAATAAGGTTTACCTTGTACAATTCAAACACTAACTAACTAGATACACAGAGTGGTATTTAATTAAAGGTGCAGCTTTAACATCAACAAAAATCAATGCTACATTAATTTTACACAAAACCTAATGTAATAAACCATTACTTATGATAATCTCCTTTAATAATCATACTTACAAAGATTACCTACTTAATAGAGATAGAATTTACCTTCATATAAAATTTGTTCTTAAAATATTTTTTAAGGTTTACTTATATCGACGCCTTTTTTTTCCACCATGTAACTGCTATTAAAAAATTAATTTTATTATTAAGAAAGCACAAAGTAGTTACAACTTAATTATAGTAATTTAAGGTAATTTATATTACAGTTATATTGAAAAGATTTATATATTAAGGATGAATATTGGGTGTAATTAATTATTACTTACCCTCGGTCCAACAGCACCTGGTTGGCCTATCTGTTGTCTTTGCAGATACTGTTGCTGCTGCCACTGTCCGCCTTGGACTATTTGCTGGCCTCCAGGAGAAACAATCTGTTGACCTCCGCTATGTGTTATAATTTGCTGGATGCTGCCACCTGCAGTCAGCTGGGACCCTGGTTGCGGTGATTGTGGCACCTGTGATAAAACCTGTTGCCCTTGTCCAACATTTTGCCCAATGATTTGTTGCCCCTGTTGGGTCACAAGTTGTTGAGACGATTGAGCTATTACCACCTGGTGCTGTTGGCCTTGTGTGATCACATGTTGGCCACCCTGAGACAGGACCTGCTGACCACCCTGCGTGATAATTTGCTGCCCCCCTTGATTCACAATCTGGCCGCCCTGATGCACAATCTGGCTTTGGGAGACAATCTGCTGTCCACCTTGCAATGTGACCTGTTGATTGCCATGCACCAATATCTGCTGTTGCCCTGTGTGCTGATTAATCAACACCTGTTGCGGGGCTTGCACCAGTTGTTGTTGTCCAGCACCATTCAGCAACTGCTGTTTTTGCACCAATATTTGATGATGAGTCTGACTTATGGTCTGCCCTTGAGAACCAATAGACTGTTGTAAGATTTGCTGAGAAGCTTGCTGAATTGTGTGCTGCGGGCTAAGTTGTGCCTGCTGGTTGTTTATTAAAGCCTGTTGTTGGGTCTGCATTATCTTCTGTTGTAATATAACTTGGTTTTGGGGATTTCGAGTCTGCACCAAAGGATTTCTAATGATTTGATGCTGTCCCTGCACATTCTGGACCATCTGTATGTTTTGTTGCCTCCATGCTCCCTGCACTGGGACAGTACCAGACTGCTGGCTTGACAGACCCTGCTGGACAGATTGTATCTGTTGGCTTATAACATTTTGTTGTCCAGTATTGCCAACAAGCTGATTAAGCTGGACACCCTGGTTACCTTGACCTTGTGATGAGGTCACAAGACCCTGCTGGTTCACAACACTCATGTTTATATTCTGTTGCTGGTTGCCTAATGATTGAACAGTTTGCTGTTGGATTAAGTTCTGGTTTTGGGCTGATAGCTGCTGTCCCGTGTTTATCAATTGCTGTTGATTTATAACTTGAGACTGTCCTAGGTTTTGATTTAGTTTAGCGTTCTGTAGACTCTGCTGCAAATTCTGTGTGGACTGGGCCAATTGTTGGGCAATATTTTGAACCGCACTTTGCTGGCTTAGTGTTAAACTTTGCTTCATTGCTAAGTTCTGTTGGTTTAATTGGGCTTGCTGTAGATTATTGGCACTTTGGCTTAACATTTGACTGATGTTCTCTATTTGCTGCTGTGCAGAGCTCATAGATGTGTTTGGTGATTGGTTCATGTTCTGATTTTGTTGAATATGGTGTTGATTGGTCTGAATATGCTGCTGTATCTGATTGGATATATTTTGATTCATTTGGGATACAGAAACATTAGATTGTTGGAAGCCCTGCTGCTTCTGTTGCAACATTTGCATTCTAAGCTGGTGTTGCTGCAACAACTTTTGTTGTTGGATTTGAATAGCAGACAAGCCATGTGGTTGTTGTTGCTGCTGTTGGTGCTGGTGTTGTTGTTGTTGCTGCTGATGTTGTTGTTGCTGCTGCTGATGTTGTTGCTGCTGCTGCTGATTTTGATATGCTTGTTGTTGAACACTCATTTGTTGATTTTGCATATTCATACCAGCTTGTGAAACTATAGTATTCTGGCCAAATTTTTGCATTAGCTGAGAATTACCCTGACTGCTTTGTATTAGAAGATTTTGCGTGACAATACCTTGTGGTATTGATTTGCTCATGATGCCAGCAGAGGACATAGCTGTTGTATAACCCATTGAACTAACAGCTGAGGTTGCCACTGTGGAAGTGTTAGCTGATGATGGGGGATGATTCCATGGCATCCTTTGTTTTAATTTGTCCAGAAGTGCTTGTGTACTGTCATCTTTATTCTCAGTCATATTTTGAGTAGGGACTTCATTCTTTGCTATTCCTTCCTCGAAGTCAAAACCTGTAATAGCACTTATACGATCCATTGATTTTGGTGGTGGCTGAGGTATAATTAACAATTTTGGATGAAAAACTTCGGCTACTGCCTGTATCCTTGCCCTCAAACTCTCTAGAACCCAATCTGGTGTTACAATCTTTATACGAGAAGGGGGCAATGTGAGCGCTATACTGTATTTCTTGCCAGATGCAGAACCACAAATAAGATGAGTGCACTGAGAATCAAAATTCAGCTTTACTTTGCCCCCATGATATGTGAGCAGTGCAAACAATGACTTCGTGTCTGCTGGACTTACTTTCGATATACATGCAACAACATTCGAAAATATCTTATTCTTGTTTGGGGTATATGGCTTCGGATTGGCCAACTTTTTCAAACGGGCGCAAGCGAGAACCCAGCTCTCGGTTACAGCGGGAATCTGATAGATATCCTGTGCGTCGTCAAGGTCTGTATCAGCGGCATTTTGTCCACAAATTAAATGTGTGACATAGTCCGAAAAATATTTCGTATTTTCTGCTCCACCTGACTGCAGCAAGAGCATAATCTGGGAATAACAAAGAAGCGACTAGAAACGATGTACGTCAGTTTATAAATAACAATAAAAACAAAAAATAAATGAAAAACAAACCCTTTCAGAGACATCGCCAGAGAGGTAATATTTAACATCCTTAAATATAGGCTCTTGCAAACTCAAAGAATCTAGATCGTCAACAATCGTTACCATTTTCTGTTTTAACAGACAATATAAAATTAAGGTTTAAACAAACATTTTCATTGTAAATTATTTTAAATCCCTGAAAACTGAAACTAAGCGACGACGTCCATGTTTAATGTTGCCATTATTTTGTTTTTGTTTTGTGAATGCGACCACAAACAACGCACAGATTGTGTAACAACATTATATTCTGTGTACAGATTACAAGACATGTAGAAAGATTAGCGATATTGCAATTTTAAATATTTTTAAATTATGATTATTATAAATATAGAGGCGAACATTGCGTGATTGTTTGCAATAGTAGATGCATATTACCGTTGTGATATGTGTTGATGGTGGAACTAATGGAAGCATGAATGATGCTTATATTTGGAAGAAGTCAAGGGGTTGCAAAGCACTGGAAGATAATAATTTAGGACTTGCAAATAAGGCCATTTTGCTTAGTTATGACAATTTTCAATTGGCAACGAACATTAAGAAATGGTACTCAAGACATGAAAGTTTGGCACCAAGAAAAATCATCAAATTACAGACGGTCCCGAGCCCGTAAAGTCGTGGTGAATGCCTTCGGCATACAGGCCTTCCCAGCGGCATTTTGTCCACAAATTAAATGTGCTCCCCATTGAGGGTTCTTAGAAAACCTTTCCTGTTTCATTGGATAATACAATACGATTATCAAAACGGCATGTACTTTGCATAAATTACATAAACTCTCTAAGCTTGTTCGACAATAAGTTTATTTTTGTTTTTGAAAAGGTAGCAAGCGAGTTGGCGATTGACTTGATGTTAAGTGATAATGCGGTTTAATTGATGTTTAGTGATAACCACCACCCATTAACATTTGCAACACCCGTAGTGGTTGTAGATGCCACCTTATAGGCTTCCTCCCTCACCAGACTAAACGCAGAAGTATAACACTTCTACTTCATGCCGGTCTTGTTAGATCGTCGTACTTATCCGGACGGACGGACCTGCCTAGTCATGCAACGGAGAAAACTGTTGCGTTGCTCTACCACAGTTAATGCGTGCGTCTCGCTGTACAAGTACAATCAGACGAGGAAGTTAAAGATATACTAGTACAAAAGGTATAGTAGAATAGTAACACCTTCCTGTCGGTAGACAATTATACCCGCAACGAAAATGCATTGTGCGATGCATGAACGATGCAAGAATGAAAATACACGAAAGAATATTTTGTCAACAAAATGATAAATGTTTAAAATCGGAAAATTTTATTATTTGATAACATCTATACTATCTATACTGTAATAAAAGAGTTCATGAATTGTAGATGTGGCTAATGGGATGACTTTCAAGCCAAAAAGACACTTAAGGACTAATAAGAAAACGATTTATTTCAACTTTAACATTTTGAACTTATTTCTAACAAAACCTAATCATTATGAAATTTATGTAAAATACATGAGTTATGTCAGATAGCAAGACATGTTACTTCTTTAAGCAATTTCAAAGAGAATGTAATCACTACGTTTGCAACTACGTTACGTTTACGTTACGTTACGTTTACGTTTAATCACTACTTGAGCAATTTTTACGGAATTAATCAAATATGACAATTCAGTCTGAACAAATAAAACTAATATTCCAAATTTAAAGTAATTCAAACATAATATATAAATCAAACAGGTCAGAGTTTAAATCAAACAGGCAGCTGGTGTAGCAGACCAGGCAGATTGTTGAACGCAACTATTGAAATGTAAACAACAATATAACTGAAGCGGTAGACGCTTCAGTTATATTGTTGTCCGTCTTTAAAGGAATTTTTAGATCTAATTTTTCTATCAATAGCTGTCTGAAGAGCTCCCAGTTGGTTTTATTGGAGTGTAGCTTACAAGGTTTAGGTACCACTGTAATTTTCCTTTTTAGTACTATTTCTACCGGGGAATGATCGGAGGACAGTTCGGTGCTCGTTTTGCTTGTTATAAAGTTGTTAGGTATGCCTTTTGTTATATAGAAGTCAAGCAGGTCTGGTAATTTATTCAAGTCTGTAGGCAGTATGTCGGATCTCCGGGGGAAATAACATTTAGTTTTAATTTCTCAATGGCCATTAACAGCTGCCTACCTTTCGTAGTTATAGTACGTGAGCCCCAGTATTGGTGCTTGGCATTGTAATCACCTCCAGCTATGAATCTGTGGCCCATTGTAGAAAGAAACCTTATGTAGTCTTCTAACTTAAGTTTGTGTTTAGGTGGACTGTAAACAGCCGAGATTGTAAAAGGTCCTGCCCAATCTTCGATGACCACATTTGTAGCTTGTATTTCATCTGTGCAGTAATGTACTGTTTCATGATGTTTGATATTATATCTTATTAGAACTGCACTTCCAGCGTGTGCTTTGCCGTCGGGGTGCATAGTGTGATAGGTTTTATAGTTCTGCATGTTAAAGTGGCTCTTTTTGGTGAAATGTGTTTCCGTAACTAGGAGGATATCTATCTTTTGTGTCTCTAAGTATGCCTTTACCTCAAGGGTATGTTGTGACATCCCATTGGCATTCCATAGGGCAATTTTTAAGCAGTCGTATTTGACAGCTTGTTTGTGAGGGCTAATATTAGGTTTGTCATGGTGGTCAGTTGCTGCATCATTTGTTTCATAAGATTCATTAATTCAAGCATGTCATTTTGGTGAGTGTGATTTGTCTGTTGTTATATTGTTCAGATTTTTATTGGTTAGTGCTTCTTTGTATGACTTATGTTGGCTATTTAGAGGTTCTTTATCCTTAGATTTTTAATTTTCGGCTGTGGCTTCTTGTTCCTTGCTGCAAACATAGGTGTTTCTGCGTTCTGGTGTCTTTGGAAAATTAAGATTTTGAAGCGCTCTGTAGATTTTACCACCTTTATAATTTGCCGGGTAATTTCCATCACAGAGTACACATTTTAAATTAAAATTAAAATGATTTTTCATCAAATTTTTATTATTAATTTTTATTATTAATTTTTATTATTGATACTTAAAAGACCTAATAAAAATTCAATCAATATTCTCTTCGTAAGTATTCTATGCTTCACGTTACCGCTTATTGCGAAACGTTATAAGGATAATAAGAACTCTAAAACAAATTATAAATTCAAGGACATGACTATTACGAATATTTTTGTTCTTGGCGAGCAGTTTGGACACGAATAATTTGATAACCTTTTAATATTTCATGCATCATCTGAGAAAAATTGATATAAAACGTAAAGTGTCGTTGGTGAGAACTTAAGATTAGTATAGTGGGACCAAGATGTTATTGGAATAGTAATAATTAATACCTATCGTCTTATATAAATGCTATAATTGAAAGCTCTATAACAAGATATTGTTTTCAGTGATAAAGAAATATGTCTCTTTATTACTTTATCAAGAGATATCTCTCTTTATCGAGAGATATCTCTCTTTATCACTGACCCCACCGTTTTGCGGTTCCTCATACGGCAGAGACAATCCCGAGCTTCGTCAGGTGATATCGGGGCAATAAGTGGTGATTGTTTAGTAGCTCCTTGAAGTAGCTATTCCATCTATCCTTTACAGAGGTTGCTCAGCAGGATGCCCTGGGAGTCCCTTATTCAAAGACATCTTGAGTCGCTTTATCCCGTGCACGTGCCTGTTTGTATTTATGAACTTTTGCTCCTCCGCAGTTTCTAGCTTGTCGTTGTACATTGGTGGTAAGCTTTCGGTGCGGTCTCTGGATACAACTCTTTTGCTGTCACGTTTGGCTGCGACTGCACTTTGTCTTCAGGAGACTTTGTTTGTTGCTACTACCTAAATTAAACCTTCTTTTCTCGAAATATACCTACACCTTGTCATTCCATGAGCCGTGATAGCTCAGTGTCCGGGCGCTCGCCTTTAATTTAATATATTCGAGCAACCTGAGTTCGATCCCCGGTGCCAGCACCAATGAAATCGTCAATTTTAAGTGCTGAATTATCACGTGCTCAGCGGTGAAGGAAAACATCGTGAGGAAAACTGCATATTTTCGAAATAATAACAAAAAAAAAAAATATTTCAAAGATATGTGAAGTCCGCCAATCCGCAGTGGGGCCGCGTGGTGGACTAAGCCCTGATATCCTCTGTACAGAGGAGGCCTATGCCCAGCAGTGGGACATTTATAGGCTGATACTTTACTTTACTTTTGTCATTCCATCACCACGTCTTCATCTCAATGATGCGACCTGTCTTAGAAACGCCGAGAATTCGCTCGCGATAGCTGCCGTCTGGGCTCGATTCCAAGCCTACTGGGCAGTTTCAGCGTTAATCAAGAGCTTATGACTTTCAAGTCCACTGTCCATTCAGTAACCATACTTGATTCCTGTATTGCAATTCTCGTCTACTTTCCTCAAGAAAACCATTCCGAAGCTCTTCAGAGAGTACTATCGCCACACAGTTTTTGCCTAAATGAGACCCTCTAAATGTGCCTTTCACATTCCGGACACACATTTTAGGTATCTTTTAACTAATGGGTGTATATCTTTTAAGCGATATGATCGTTTTATTAAATTTCGTTAATAACCTCCCAAATAATATAACACGAACACATTAATATATTAGGTAACATATCAAATGTGCTAAATATATTTTTTATTTTTTTTAATTATTAATTTAAGTTTTTTTTCCAATGGAGCGAGAATAAAACCAGTTCCGAAATGCAGATAGTTCGCGAAATTCATCAAATACTTACTTCCTTAGTCAAATAGACTAAATTACTTTACTAGATTAGTTAACTATAAAATCACTCAGTTGAAATGAAACGTCTGTGATGGTAAAATTGTCATGATGTGTACCTTTTCACGGCACCGTAAAAAGAACAGCTGAAGAATATATTTAACTGTGGTGGGGCCAGGCAATAGTGTTTCATCATCATCATCATCATTTCAGCCTGTTTGAGTCCACTGCTGAACATAGGCCTCCCCCACAGACTGCCATGAAGTACGATCCTGAGCCACCTGCATCCATCGACTTCCCGCACATTTGCACAGGTCGTCACTCCATCTAGTGGGGGGTCGTCCC